TCCTACAGCTTCTAATGATCCTGACCAACAGCATTGGGTAAACAGCAATTCAATTTGCCTTCACATATAAGAACACAGAACAAACATTTAAAAATAATACTGAAAGTAAATCTATTGTATACAAACTAAAAACTGTCCTATGAGGTGTTGGATATGTACTCAAAACCTCCTGGGAAGTGCTGAACCACAGACTGCTGCAAGAGCACACTTCTTTAGATTGTAACATTTAGAAATGCAGATTTGATTCGATGCAAACCAACAGTGCCCTGAGCATCAAAACCACAAGGTATTACCATAGACGCAGAATAAAGAGCTTGGGATAAGAATGTTTTCACCAAGGCAAATTAGCAATAAGCAGACATTAGCATTTTAACAGTGAAAGAAATGGATTCTACCAGTAGAATATACCGCAGGACAATTTCAGAATAATTTGAGATTAAAAGCTTTTGCAGTTCTGAAAGTTCATACACGTCCTCAGCTCTGAATGAGCTTTATCATTGGCTTTGGTGGTTACTGATCTAATGAAGCGTGTTTCCTATCTACTATCTGGTGGCACTGAAAGGCAAGAGCTAGCAGCTGTTCTCAGTGAGATCAGACCAATACTTAGCCAAGTGATCTGATGAAATAGCACTCTCTTCACAGCCACCCAATTCAAGCTGCCTGTCTATGAAATCAGATTAAATATAAATGGCCAAATTATCTTTAACACCATTATACAGAAGTGAATTGACACCAGGGGGGCATTGGGTTCCATATCTTTTAATCAGGAAAACTGGTATGGCTAAAAGAGCTAATTGCTTTAAAAGAGTTAGAAATTCTTGCTTTAAAAGAAAGACTCAGTTTACCAAAGGAACTGCACCGACTGGGTAGATAGACAGAAAATAAAGTGTTTTTTAAAGTCTGCTTTCCATGCTCTGGAGAGCATCTTTTATTAGTAAATAAAAGTGTCTAGATTTTTAATAAGAGGATTAAAATACTGATTGCTGAGGGCTCACTATATTAGCTAGCTCTTCTCAAACGTGCTATAATGTTAACTATTTCACTGCAAAATTGAATTACTATAATAACTGGGTAAAATTTAAAGACAGTATAATGTATAAACTCTTTTTCACTCCTTTCTGTTTGTATGTATCAAAGATCAGATAATCTTTCAGTTTTCTCTTTTTTACTTCTTCTATCTGCTTGTATTTATCAAAGATCAGTTTTATTTGCCGGTTGGGTGTTAAGCAATATTTACTCCCAGTGTAAGCTACTGCAATAAATCAATACTTTTCTATGTGCGCAGCAAGACCTGACCTTAATGCTGTCAGCCTTCCATCACACTTGACTGTGTTTCAGTTTCTCTGTTTGCCAAAGCAAGTGATTTTAAGCTATTAGCAACACATAGCACAGGGCATCTTGCAGTCAGTGGCTAAGTCTGCTAAGGAGGACAGTATATACACAGTAGTCTTGCCATTATACTGTCCATCATACCAGAGAACATGGTGAAGTAGTCACTGTTCATCTGCTTTAACAGTTTGATTCATGGAGCAAAAATCTGCTACCAACCACATACACAGGATTTAGTATTTTATAGCAAGATGTCCATCAGCTGCAATGAATGGCTCAATACCCACCTAAGGCTGCACTCTGAACTTGTTTCCACAGCCACAGCTCAGGGAGTGGGACAAATCATGCCAGCACTTCTAAGCACCCACAATGCAGTGCCCTTTTCTGAACTGTTGCTAGCCATGGCACCAGGTGACTTTAACCTGGTGCAATAACCTCCAACAGACAGGTTGGAGGTTATTAGATTGCCTCTGTGAATTATGCAGTGAGAATTTGACTGTGCTTTAACGGTGATCACTGTTTGCCCTGATTACAAAGCAGAAGCTCTGTCCTCCACTGACACTGTGGAAATTCCTCATGAGACTTTGGGGCTGTTTTATTTACTTTAAAGCTATTCACAATTCTGTTTGCTCACAGGTAAATGAGGAATGATAATGTTCACCTACATTAGGTGCTGTGGAGCCATTAAAATGCTTGTGAGTTAAATCCTTAAATAAAGATGCTACAGAGCTTAGTAACATTACCATTGTAATATGCTACACTGTCAAAATTTGCCTCTTATTTAATAGTTATTGCAAACTATAAATACAAGATTAACTGTAAATATACAGTTACAAAGTACAAATCCTAAAATAAGTGAAAAAGAAAGTTTGATGCTACTGCAGTACATAAGAAAGTTGCTTTTCCAGCACACATGCAACAGGAGAATGTTTAGACCCCACTAGACTTGTCTGAAGTGCTGGGCTGTAAGAGAATGCTTCATGGGACCAAGCACTGCCTTACAAATGACAACACAGAGCTGGAAGAAGATGCAAAACTCATAGCCCTCAAGCACATGAAAGGTGCAGACTATCTGCCTGAACTGCATTTGTTATTAGGATCCAAACCTTTCTGTAGAAAGTTTTCAATGCTAAAGCAAACAAACAGAATTTGTGCTAAATTTGTTGTATTTATATTGTTATCCCTCTATCTTAATAAAATACGTAAGCAAAATACAGTATCTTAGAAGATGGAGGTTTCTGACTGCATTTCATTAAGCCTAATTTCAAGTTAAAAAGAAGTAACTTTTTAAAGATGCTTTATAAAAGATAATGCTTTGCATCAGGGACAAATTAATAAAAAAAAATACGGTTTCCTGTGCAGACTAAATTGAATTTATTTCCTCATATAGAGTCTCAGTACACTGATGACCAGGGGAAAGAAACTACTGTTACTTCTACATAGACATCTGTTTCCAGGCAAAATAACTACTGCATTGTTCAGCCCTTCTCTAACAGATCCAAACTAGCTACTGCTAATGGCATAGTATTGTACCATTATTATGGTAGCACCTGTAAGACATAGATCAGAAACCTGCTGCAGCAGCTGTTAATGTATGTAAAATAGAATTTCTTCTCTCCCCTCAATTCACAATCTAAGAGTAAATCCAGATACAGAGTAAATGCAGATACAGCCAGAAAATAGCAGGTATGCACTGGTCAGCTTAGTATAGCACATAATCAACTTAACATCCATGGAGTCCTTTGGTAAGCATCATGGCTAAAGAAACAACAATTATTAAGAAAGGAGTAGAACAGATGTATACAGATAGTGAGAAGCAGTACAGTAAAAACATCAAACATTCAGCTACTGTGTCCTAGAAACATCGTAGGTCAATCTAAGATAGGAGCAAGCCTCAACTTACAAAAGGTGAGGCAAAAAAGCAGAGAACAGTATGTGTAAACTCTGGAAATCAAAACATACATGTAATGGGCTGTACCAACAGAGGAAAAATTGCAAGTCCCTATGGTGCTCTGTCACTAAAAAAATAAAAAATAAAAGTGACCCTCCCCCAGAAAATAGGGGCTACTAATGCTGTATATTGTCAAATGTCAGTTCTGAGAACTTCTATTCACACTTTTTCAGACAAAATGTGAACAGACAGTCCTTAGTTTTCAGGCACATACAGGACAGAGGTAAGTGGAGGTAAGACATACAGGTAAGAGGTAAGTAAATGGAAAAGCTGCAAGTAATTTGATGACTCTATCACCAAAACCTGGCGTTAAATTATACCAAGACAGAACCTGAAGCTTTATGTTGCCAAAGCATAAGAAACCAAAGTTAGTTTTGGTTTTCTTTTAAAATGTCTTTTAAGCTTAAACTTCCAGGAGATATTAGACTCATATTTTATATCACCCTTTGCAGCCACTGAGTTTAGAAATCCAGTCTTGATTTTGTAATCAAAGCTGAGAGCCTAATTTGTTGCTGTAACTGTTTGAATTGATAATGAAAGAGTTGACATAAATTGACTGAACAAGATTGGAAGCAATGGCAACACTGTTACTCAGACAGCCGAGCCTACCACACCACTGTCTGAGCAGATCATACGGAAGGTGGAACTGTTACCACAATTTCACAGGTACAAAAGTCTTTTAAAAGTCAGATAAAGTGATTATTCCCGTAAGTCTGAGCTCAGACTGCCTCGGTTCTAGCTTGGTGCTTTAGTCTCAAGTATATAGAATCAGACTGGTCTGCGTTGGAAAGGAACCATCCAACCCAATCATCCATTTCCAACCCCTGCCATGGGCAGGGACCCCTTCCACTAGAGCAGTTTGCTCCAAGCCCCTGTGTCCAACCTGGCCTTGAACACTGCCAGGGATGGGGCAGCCACAGCTTCTCTGGGCACCCTGTGCCAGCGCCTCAGCACCCTCACAGGGAAGAGCTTCTGCCTAAGAGCTCATCTCAGTCTCCCCTCGGGCAGGTTAAAGCCATTCCCCTTGGCCTGTCCCTGCAGGCCCTTGTCCAAAGCCCCTCTCCAAGGGATATAACACATTCCAAGCTCCCTTACCACCCTCAAGCACACAGAACAAGGATTCCATGGCTGCTTGAAGCAGGACTTCAAGGCCGCAGACTACTGCTGTGCCCTGGCGCTCGGGAAGGCGCGCTGCATGGCCCGCGGTCTCCCGCCACCACAGCCTCGGCGGAGCCTGCAGCTGACACACAGTATCAGCAACGTGCTAACAAATAACGAGACAAACCCCAAGTTTTGTACTGCCCCTACACCGACAGCTTTGGGTTTGACACTTTAAAGCGCATGGGTTGCTTCATTTTTTTAATCTGCTGCAACAAATACCTGAGACTGTTGCTTTTTAATGACAACCGCTCCTTCCCATAGACGTCCCAGGTCTAGAAGCTAAGATTTTACAGCGGTACCAAACGCTTCTGAACCGCTTTGGAACGCCGCTATGCAGATGCCATAACGGTACCTCCTCAGACACGCACCGGGCTCTCCGCAGCGCCTCAGGCACCATCGAGAGCGGGGGCTCTCCGGCACCATGCTCTCCGGCATCATCTCCTCCGGCAGGGCAGGGCCGGGCCGCGGTACCTCAGCGGGGCGCGGGAATGCAGGCTCCCCTCACCCAAAAGGGGAAGAGGAGAACATGCCGGGCCGCAAGGCGCCGCGGAGGGAGCTGAGGTACCGCCGGGGGCGGGGCCTCACGGCTGCGGGGGCGGGGCCTGCCGCTCTCCGCGCGCCGGTTCCGGTCTCGCGGCGGGCGCGGGTGTTTTCGGGCCTCACCGACCCGCGGTGCCCGGGAGCATCATGGCCGCGGCCGCGTGGATGCCGGCGGTAAGCGGCGGGGAGCAGGGACAAGCACCTTGCCCGTGTGCCCTGGGGGCGGGCGCCAGACCGGGCTGCGCCTGTGACCTTGGCCGCGGCTCGGTGACGCCCGAGGCGGTGCTGCCGCGGGGGCGATCGCCTGCAAGGTCGCGGTGGCGCCGGGCCCGGGCAGCGCCGCCGAGGGCGGCGGGGTTGGCGGGCCCGCTTTTCCCTCATCCCCAGGACGTAGCCCCGCCACGGGTGGGTGCCGGGAGGGCCGTTACTTCAACGGCCGCTGCTGCCCAGGGGAAGGGCCGCGGAGGGGCCCGGGAGGTCGTGCCGTAGAGGTCACGGCACTGCAGGCCGCGAGGGGCCCGGGCCCGGCGGCAACGGACGGGCATGGTGTGCCTGCAGCCGGGCTTGTCCTGCCCTGCGTTCCCACAGCGAAGGCCGCAGGACGGGTGCTTGTCCCTGAAGGAGGTGCCGTGCCTGTCACTACGGAGGCTGCTGTGGCAGTGCCTGGTACTGTCTTCGGCAGGCTTCTGGCCTCCCCTCGGGGATCTGCTGAGTCCAGATGTTAGGAGATGCAGCCCTATTGCGGCGCTGCTTTTTGCCTTTAGTAAATGGCATTGCTTTAGCGCCTTTAAATAGTATAAAATAATAATAGCCCGTGGGGGCCAAGTCATTGCAGAAGCCTCACTTCATGTCTGCTGAAATGCGGAAGAACTGGCAAGAGGGTTTAATGGCAGAACACATCAAGTCTTTCTGGCCTGATCTCTGCTAGCATTCCAGATGTTGAACTGAAGTGTGATGTACCAGGCCCAGGATTTCTGGCAAGCTCGACTGTTCCTTTCCAGGGCTACTCTGGAATTTGAATCCTGACTGTGCATGCAGGAACTGTACCATGAGGGCACTTACACTTGTGTGTTCAGTGCTTTCATTTAGTCGCTTCAGCTGCTGCCTCAGATTCATGGCTTGCTGCGATGAACCTTGCTTGCCTGTTGCAATGACCTTCTACATGTCATGTCAGGTCACAAGTAAAAATAAATTCTAGCTTAAATTACTTCTCCCACAGCATTCATTACAACATCCCTGAGAATTGCATTGTTTCAAATTGTTTCTGTGAGTGAAAACATGGTTTGCCGCCTTTGCCATACAGCTATGTTTAAGCATATGTGTCAGTAATGATAAGAGATTGGAGAGGAGTACAAATTGTCCAACACATTCCAGTCTAGCCTGATAGCTGCAGACAGGAATGTGGCAAAGTCCTCCAAGTGCTGGCACTGGAAGTTTACTGACTCCTAAGTCCCAGAAGCATGAAAACCCTGGAGAGGAGGGTAAGGTTGGGAGGCTGTGTTTTCTCTGCACTTCAGTATTGGTACTGGTACAACTAGGGATTTTGTGTGTGGTGCTCAGCCAGGCAAGAGCTCAAGCTGAGATACCATGCCAGTTGTGAAGCTTAACGCCAGTTTGGAATATTCAGGTGTCAGAAGGAGCGATTGTTTGACTAGGCTGTGTCGACTTGTTGCTGTGATGGATTTTGTCTTTAATGTGCATGTAATTCTGCTCTTTAAATATTGTTGGGCAAACAGAAGACAACAGCACAAAACCTGCTGATGTGGAAGGTGGAAGAACAAAACCCACCGCAGTCTGAATGGAAGAAGTGACACTAATGCAAAGCAGTTTTTAAAACATTACTTAGAATGCATACACTGTCCACCCTATTGCTAGTGAAAGTCTTTGACTTTTCACTTGGCTTTCCATGAATCTTAATCCTTAGGATATCCTCTGTTTAGTCAGAGTTACCGCAACCTTACTTCAAATGCGTAGTATGCAAGGACTCACTGTTGTGCCATAACCTTACCTCACCTCAGGCATGGTGCATCCTGGGTTTACCTTGTGCTAAGAATAATCCCAGGATGTGCCAGTGCACAGAAGGTTAGAGAGTAACATGGCAAAGTGTTCCTTACTCGTGTTTCATCTGGATCTTTATACTAACTTGAGATAGGGGGTTTGAAGCAATTTGATTTTAAAATGCAGATTTGCTGCAATACTGTTAACTTTGAAAAATCCAATTTGTGTAATAAAATAGCATCTTCTTGTTTTATATCCTTGCAGGTTTCTCGATTGCTAGGTGCTTTCAAAAACCAAAAACAGGTGACCAGAAGTTTTAGTAGTGCTGTGAGTATAATAGTACCATTTTTCCTTTCTTTTTAAGAAGTTTCTCAAGAAAGCGGTTCAGAAATTTACTTTTATAATATCAATGTTGTTATTTTTACATTCTCAAGAGATAAGGCCTAAATAAGTGAGCATACATGCTCTTAATGCCATGCTGGATTCATATTGGCTTACTGTCTTTGGCAATCGCATATTAAAACCTAAGTGATAATACAAAAGGCTCCAGCAAAAGACAGAAGTGGTATGAAAACTTTTCACACAATCTGGACATGAGCCATCTTCTGAAACTCATCTGGCATTGGGCAAAGGAGACAGATTGTTGAGAAGCTTCTCATTTTCTTTCCTTTGCAGACTTCCCTTCAGGCACTACATTTACTGTTGCTTTTAGAATACCTCACGCTTAAAGTTGTGCCTTCTCAAGGTTCTCTTTGAAGTATTTTAGATGCTAGTGGCATATTTCCTAGTAGATGTTTTACCTTCTTCACGTGTTTGAAGTGCCCATAGACCTTTACTTTCCAGTGAAGGTTGCCCTCAAAATGGCTCAGGCAGGGGCAGGGCTCAGCACCACAGCATGCACCCTTAAGCAGGACTTAATTTTAAAGAGGAACTATGGCTTTTAATTATAAGCTTTGTAGAACAGCATGTAGAAGACCTAGAAATGAGACTGAGGGTTGCTCCTATCTTATACAGTTTGAAAAGATTGTAGAAGGTGGGACACCCTGGTTCTGTTTTTACCATAGTCCCGTGTCAGGTGAAACATTCTCTGGCTCAGTTGGAGTCCTAAGACAGCACGAAACTAGTCTTGAGGCATTCCATCAGCTATGTGCTTGCTCAATAGCAGGGTTCTTGTACCTGAAGCTCTGCTGCTTTTGTTACGTACAGTGAATTTCTTTGGCTCACATTTGTTAAAATACCAGTCAGTGTATATTGAGATTCTGAGTATTTTGTGTGGAGCAGGATGGAAGTAGATCTTGTGAATTGATTCTAGTTCTGATGCTGCATCTGAGCTGCCTTTTCTGGTAGGTAATAATGAGCCCTGACAAAACTGTTGGGAGCATGGAGGATTAGAGTGGCGATCATCATCTATTTATGTTTTTTTGATCAGAGCAGAGTACTTTCTTTCCCTGTTTTTCAGTGAGCCTAAGCTGTGCAATTTAGTTCATCTGTTTGATGATGATAAAAGAAACAAGACTGAGAACATTATAGCAGGAAAATAACTGGGTATTGTTAAAAATGGGTCTGAGATTTTAAGGAAGTTACGTAAGAAGTTTGGATATGCATGAGATTTTTTTTTTTTAAGCTTTTCATAATTGTCATCATTTCTAGCATGTTTCACTATTATGCAGCATGTTGCTAATACTGGAGACATACGGGTAACAGAGCCATAACTAGGTAATAGTTCCTCTTCCAGATTTCAAGAAGGCAGCATGCTGAGATGGTTTCTTTCAAGGAATACTGATCAGGAACCTGCCCTTCAGGTTAAACCTCTGTGTTTTGAAATAGCAGTAGATAGTAGGCAGATTTTTAAACAGTTTCTCAACATATCTGCATGCTGCCTTTGCAAGCAAGCCAGTCATCCTTCCTTCTGTCCAGTGCTGCTATTCTTCATAGTGCTTATTTGGTAACTGAAACTTCCTTTTCTAGTTCCTTGTTTCTTACAACACATGAAAATGTTTTCTTCATGGAAAACAAGCATTCATTTGTTGTGCTACTGATATTTCTATACCTAGGTACAAACAGTAACTTTAATCCCAGGAGATGGCATAGGACCTGAAATTTCTACTGCTGTCATGAAGATCTTTGATGCTGCCAAAGTAAGTCATATTAGTCTTGCTGTAAGCATTATAAATTTAACAAGTAGTATTAACTAGTCTTGTTTAAAATGTTTTGTTTTTAACTTCCAAACGATCAAGTCATGTTTAAGCTATTAAAACTTCTTGACAACAGAAAGTCAGAAGCTTCAGCTAGTAAAAGATAGGATTGGGATATCAAGGCAGGGCTTGAAACTGTTAGCTGGCAGAGGAGTAGACAGCAAATGCTGTATTCAGTTTTGGAAATATGAACTCAGTATTCATGGGAAATCATCTTGTTGATGAAGTGATCCTGAGCAACTGAGAGAGGTTGTTCTCTTGTTCGTTGTGACTTCCAGTGCAGATGAAAGCATGTGTGACAGAGCTGGCATGTTCTTAGAAATCTAACTGCTGCACTGCTGAATGTACTCACTTCAGTGATATGAAAGTAAAGTATGTCCAAGAACTCTGTTACTGCCTGTCTGAGGAACCTCACCAGAATTTGTCCAGTTTCCTTGAAAGGATATAGCGCTCTTTCAGGAAAGATGCCTGTTAAATGGGTCCACATTAGTAACAGCACCAAGACATATTCCTTTCTGTAACAGCTATACAGCTTGAACTGGGAAAAAGTCAATTTCTGTTTATCTAGGAAGACCTTGTAAGAGTTTTGGTTGTTTCTGGGGAGTCAAGCAGGAGGGGTAGAGGAGTAAAAGCTAAGTTTGTGCATGAATGCATGCTTACAATACTTTATCAGATTTGTTTGTTTTAAAGGGGATTCTCTAGTGTGTTACACTTACATTGGTTCAGTTTGCAAAGCCCTTGTATCTTTTCCTTTATGGTCCTTCCTGATGAGCCTGTCTCCACTTACAAGTGGGTGAATGGAACATTTGCGGGTTTTCAGCTAGAAAACAGATATATATCTGTTAGGTACTGTCTTCCAGGCAGTATGGATGACAAGTTCTCAATGAATTCAGCTTTCAAATATTTTGTCTCTTGTACACAAGGAACTCAACAGCTCTAAGAACTGGAAAGGTGTAGCATGTATATTGCAATTCTGAGGATTGCTGAGTATATGGCACCTGGGGAAGCGTCATGGTATTCAGGTTTATGATGATGTGTTGCTCATACTATTTCATTTTCACTTAATTACATTTTAAACCAAAATGTTTCTTTTCTTACTTCAGAAATCTCATGGTTACTCTCATTTACCAGAGAAAAATTGTTTAGGAAGGCCTGGACAAATTCCTTACGCACCTTTTTGTGAAAGGGAAGTTAAAGCTTGAAGCAAAAGTGATGATATTTAAGTTAACATAGACTGAATGTGTTTAGACTCCTATTCAGTGGGAAGAAAGGAATGTTACAGCTATCCAAGGACCAGGAGGGAAGTGGATGATTCCTCCAGATGCCAAAGAATCCATGGATAAAAACAAAATGGGATTAAAAGGTACATTAAAAGGGGTTAATACAAATATATTAAATACTGTTGTTTTTATTGTGACTCTGATTTAAAGCTGAAGACCTTCATTTGCATAATAAAATGGCTTATTATAGGGGACAGCCTGTCAGGTAATTACAGTCTTCTGTAATTTTAAAACCATCCTTCTTTTTGAAGCCATAATTTTCACAGATCTTCTAGGAAATACATTAAAAGCAAGTGTTGCTATAAGCCAGCCTTTGGACTCTGTGCAGAATGCATTTCTAATGATAGTATTCAATAAGTATATTCCTAGTGGTGTTTTGTTTTTGTTGTTTTCAGTCAAAAGCTTTTGTAAAAACTGCTGTTCCATGCAAGGGTGGCAGTTCGGCCTTTAAAGAGCTGATTAATATCACTGTAATAGTACTCAATAGCACAGAGAATTGCTGTGGCATTTCAGCAGAAGGGTTCAATAGGAACTTGGAGATCCTCTGTTAAGAGTACCACTCTAGGTTACTAGAGTTTGAGCTCTGAAATTCATGAAGGGATTTACCTTCTCATTCATTCTTGCATTTGTTTTTTACCTTTTCCCTTTAGGGCCTTTAAAGACCCCAATTGCTGCAGGACACCCATCCATGAACCTGCTCCTGCGTAGAACCTTTGACCTTTATGCAAACGTCCGTCCCTGTGTCTCAATCGAAGGGTACAAAACCCCTTACACAGATGTGAACATTGTCACAATTCGAGAGAACACAGAAGGCGAATACAGTGGAATTGAGCACGTGGTACGTTGCTGGAAGTGGTGTGTTTTCTGTGTTTCATGAAGGATAACTTTGCCCATCTCAGTGGCCTAATACTAGGAGGTTCAGTGGTGTTCAAGTTTGCTACCCATCAAAACCATCAGTGCGATTACTGTCTTTCAGATTGTTGATGGTGTTGTGCAAAGTATCAAGCTGATCACAGAAGAAGCCAGCAAGCGGATTGCAGAATTTGCTTTTGAGTATGCCAGAAACAACCAGAGAAGCCATGTTACTGCTGTGCACAAGGCAAACATTATGTATGTTGACACTTCTTCTTGAGAAGAATAACAAATAGTAATATGCATTTAATTATAAGTAACTTAATTGCCCCTCAAATGTATAACTTGTGATGGTGTTACTGGGAGTAAGTAATGAGGCAATCCTAACCCAGTATTGATAAGACTCCAATATCCTAATGTTATTATTAGAAAGTTTGTAGTAATCCTGTGACTTGCCTTGCAAAGGTCTTGTTTTAAAAAGAGTCTTAAACTAGGAAGATGAGTTTAAAAACTGAGGATGAAAAAGGCACTTTGTACTGAACTGAGTTCTAAGAGGTGATATTATGTGACACCACCTTTACAAACTCAGGAAGCCTTTAGTAAATGAACAGGATTCATCCTGAGAATCAATGTACGCCTGTTAAACAACTGATACAAAATTATTTTAGGAGGCAATTTGAAAGGCAGAACTGCTCTGACAGCAATATATTTAAAAGATTATTTAACATAAGGGATAATTAGTAACAAATTTTCTGCTAATTATGCTAAGAATTTAATCTACGTTTATATACGTCTAATCCTCTGTTGCATGCAGTTTTCTTTACCTTCAGTATTGCTTTTTAGAACAACTGCAATATTCTCTTGCTTATTTAACTGCAGGAGAATGTCTGATGGGCTTTTCTTGAGAAAATGCAGGGAAGCAGCAGAAAACTGTAAAGACATTAAATTTAATGAAATGTACCTGGATACTGTGTGTCTGAATGTAAGTATTGATGTGTCTTAAACGTGATTAGTTTTAATTTTAAATTCTTAACCTTAATGAAAATATACTTCTTTCTAGATGGTTCAAGATCCATCACAGTTTGATGTGCTTGTTATGCCAAACTTGTACGGTGACATCCTCAGGTATGGAGATTGTAATTTCAAGTACCTCAGTGTATAGAGTGCTGCTGCTTTCCAGACAGTTACTCAGGTTATGTGCTAGCCAGATGGATGATGATTTTATGCATTCAGAGTTTAAAACTATACCTCAAACTTTAAATGAGCAGAAAGGATGCTCTTATTACACTTCAATTATTACTATATTGTTGGGAGGAACTGCATGATGAGAATGTGCTTCTTAGTTTAAAGTTTCTGCTTATGGAGGCTATTAATATATTCACATGGGCCAGAAGAGAAATTTCTCCAAATATGTGAAGAATTTAATGGCTTGAACTGTAATAAAGAATGCTTAGTTAGATTTTTGGGGGGAAACTTTCTAATAGTAAGCACTAAAATAGTGTGAGGTGACTGCACGACCATGATGTTTACAGCAAGCTAGCCATACAGCTAAATGATAATGCATAGTCACTGAAGAATGAACCATGGTGCCTCTTAATACCTTGCCAGCTCTTGTTTTATGTATTGTATTTTTCCTTATTTTCAAATTAAATTGCATATTTGGGTAACATTAACACTAGAGATACTTGATCTCTTGAAGGCAAAATACATCAGAACACTGTTTCCATTCTGTTAAATGCTTAGGTAGAGTGTAAATTCAATTAAATGCTGCATGTAAAATTAAGTATCTTAATTTGAAATTTTAACATAACATTACTTCCCCTTGCACCTCCAAGGAGAGATTTAGAGAACAGCATGAATTAGAATTTACATCTTAGAACCCATCTCCTGCATTTGTACAGATAACAAAAGTAAAGGTAACTTATGTACAAGAAGAAATGCCTGCTGAGCTTCTCTTGAAATGGCACTCTATGATAAGGCTGTTTGTAACCTCTAAGAAAAATCAGACTCCCAGCTAATGCTTCTTGCATTAAAAACTGTTAGAGGAGTGGAGAGGGCCGTTACAGCAGCTGTCAACCAAAGGAGATCAAATCAAATGAGTCCCATCAGTACTATTTCAACTCACTTTATCTAATTCAACGTCACTAATTTTAAAGGTTTGAAGTTTAAAATTTTAAAGTTCTCATAGAAATTCTGGAAACAATTCCATAGTTCTCAGCATTTTCAATAAATGTGTATTCTTGAAGAGGGCACTTGAGTCACTGAGGGTGGTCTCACCTGCACTGCTTTTTTGAAGTGTGAACATCATGCCAAACAGGTTTCTCGGACTGAATAGGTACAGCAGGGAATCCCTTACCTTGAACCATTAAATCCCTACTGTGACAAATTTAGACTGTATCCATTTTTTTGTGCCTCCAGCCTATACAACTAAAGCTAATTGGGTTATTTTAGCTTAAACTTGAAATATTATTCTGCAAGGTCATCCAAACTTTTCTGCTTGTGAGTCCTTGCTTAGCTAAGTTGTAGGCAATAAAACAGATTGCTAAAATACCAGAGTTTTAAGAGCCTTGTTTATCTGTATGCTCAGCTTTGAGGGTACAGGATGACGACTGTAGGCACAGTTGTTTTGTTCGTCCCCATGTTAAATCTGGAGTAAACCACATGCAAAGTGCTTGTGTAAATTGCTTGTGTCTGATGATATCATTATGTCAGACTTGTGGGCTGTTTAAGAAAGAGAGGGGGAAAGCCTGTCTGGTGTCACTGGAACATATTCCATAAGCCAAATGCAATAAGCTTTAAAACTACTAGTAATTCATCTACCTAATATCAGCTATGTTCTAGTATTTGGAGTTACATCTTAATTTTCCTTTATTAAACTGCCCCCTGCTATTAGTTCTACAAATTTACAAATTAGCCACTTGTACTCCATTGGAAAACAGCATCTGTTCTTCCCAGTGCTATTCTCAGGCTGTGGGTGTATCAAATAAGTTCTTGTTGCAATAAACTGAGAAAAAAGAACATCTGAATACCTTGCAAAGAAGCAACTGTATATGGAAAAACTTGTGGGTTTGTTGTTTTTTGTATCTCCAGTGACTTGTGCGCTGGACTGATTGGGGGTCTTGGAGTAACACCAAGTGGCAATATTGGTGCTAATGGAGTTGCCATTTTTGAATCGGTAAGTTGTCTTCTGCAAGGTACAGTGTTAACAACTGATTTGTCTCAACTGGAGAATCTAAAACTTCCATGACATACAGTGTGGCTATCATTGAATTAAGTTCTGTGTAAAACTGTTCTTTACTGTGAAGATGCTGAACCTTTACTCAGAGAGAGAAGGTACAGTATGTATTACATACACAGTATGCATTACACATAGTTTTTTGCATGTCCTTTTACAGACACTTTGTTTTTCCTTTGTTTTGTAAGATAAATACACTCTGTGAAATAGAACTTCATGGGCACAATTGGGAGATACTAGGTGACTTAGTTACTCCTTTCTGATGCCTTTGAATTGAACTGTTCTGGTCTTTCCTATCTGCTTTCCGCTAACTGTATCACTGTGAAGTAAGTCCTATTTTAACTCTCTTGTATGAGGATTATGTTTCAGGTTGCTTGCATACACTTGAATTGCCTAGACCATTTTAATCAGCGTTATTGACATCATAACAGATAGGTTCACTTTTATTTCTAGGTTCACGGAACAGCACCAGACATTGCAGGAAAAGACATGGCAAATCCAACTGCCCTTCTGCTGAGTGCTGTGATGATGTTGCGTCACATGGGACTACACAAGCATGCTGCAAAAATTGAGACAGCTTGCTTTGAAACAATTAAAGATGGAAAGGTAATCTAAGGGTGTGCAAATAAATGCACTGAACTGAAATCATATTCTATCATAGCAAAAATTAACTTTGAACATTACCACTCGAACAGTGTGGTAATGGAACACCACCTGCTCTACTGGCCTGATGCATGAGCAGTGCCACTGTCCTTCTCTGATAGTAATTTTATTACCTTTGGTGGTATTAAAGCTGCCCAGCTCAGTAATAAGGATAGGCTGTAGCATTCCTTGTGTCTCAGTAATGCTCATCTTATATTTCCACAGCTTTGTTAACTCTCAAAGCTAGGACTGGATGTCTCTTTTCCATGAAGGGGATTAGAGATTTAAGTAACTAATGATGTTCCAGTAGTGACGTTTATAATGTATACAAAAGACATATATTTAAGTCTGGGTCCTGAACTGAAGGAGGCTCATTTGTCTTTCACAGGGTTAGTCCTCCACTTCTTTTACAGCATTTCAGTCCTGACTGTGGTATTTCTGCTCCTCTTTTCAGTTCCATTGTTTTCTTTTTTACCTTCTAACTGCTTTCAGTCCTTTTTGGGCTACAAATAGGTTTTATCCAGTGTTTACTTTTTCCCCTTAAGATTGAATGCAATTTCCCTTTGGCAGCAGGTGTCTCCAGATTAGAGACTCAAATGGCATATTCAGGGACACACATGCTCTGAAACCTGACTTGAATTTGTCCTCTTAAAATTGTTGGTTCACTCATCTACTTTTACATCCACCTTTTCAAACATAGCTGGAAAGATTCTGAAGATTGCAGTTAAAGAGGATTAGCAGTTAGGCTGGTTCAGTTATCTTAGGCAGGAGCTTCAGAAGCTGCTTTGTAATGAAAAGTGACAAGGATGCTTAAACAAAAAGCTGTCATCATTTCATAAGTGGTCTGTTTGCAGCTATCTTACTGTGTGTAGGAGGCAGTTAAAAAATATCTAAACTTACAAGTGAATAAAGAGGTGCTCCTGTAAAGTTCCCATTTACTTCTCTGGAAATGAAATATCCTCCATCTGCAGGTCAGTAACTGTATGGAAGATAACACAGTGCAAGTTTTGTGACATGGCTACTTGTTTACTAGTTACTTAACACCAGTATGGTTATATGCTCACAATGGAGAGAATCTTTTTAAATTGGCAAAAAAGCATAATGCAGTTAAAAAGATAAGATCCTAAAATAATAACCTTCATTCCCTCTCCTGCTTTCTGTTTCTCCCTTTCCCTTTCCCCCAGCCATTTAATTAAGATCTCTGTGTGTGTCATGTAAGGGGAAAACTCGTGATTTTAAATTACCTTCTGGAGTGCTTTAATCTAGTGAGGTAGGACTAGCAATGTTGCCCACTTCTTTCTTTATTTCACTATCTTTATGCTGCCAGATAGGAGCTGCACTTGATGAAAAGCTTTCTTTAACTCTGCATTTTCCATCTCTTAACTGAACTAAGCAAACTGAAAGAAGTGTTAACATTCAGCATTAAGAGCTATGTGTGCTTTTTCTGGGTAGGTTTCCTTAACAACAGACAGACATTAAATTAAACAACAACAACAAAACAACCCAAAACCCATACAAATTCCCCCCAAATCAGTTAGTTACCTTTGTGCTGAGCCTTCATATATAATTTTTACTTCCAAAAGACAAAGTTCCTATTGAAAACTTAATAAAATCAATCATTAATAATGATTAATAAAATACTTAATGATTAATAACACTGTTATTTGGACAAGGGCCTTTGGAGAGCTTTGGCCAAACAAATTTTCTTCCTGTAGTTAAGATAAAATCATGTGGAAAACTGATAATATGTGATGCTGGCACTCAAGTTTTCTTTACCTCCTTCAGTCAGTACAGTCCTTATTGATGAAATCTATATTGATATGGGATGCAGAAAACATCAAACTGGATGTATTCCTCCTCACTCCTATTTAGTAGTCACACACAACATAGAAGAACATCATCTAGAACTGTTCAGACAAGACCAGCCCTGTAAAACAGTTTAGTAATGGGTTTTCTTTCTTTCTTTCAGGTCTTGACAAAAGACTTGGGAGGTAATGCCAAGTGTTCGGAATTCACAGAGGAGATCTGCCGCAGAGTAAAGGACAAAGACTAAATTTTTCTCATACTACCTGTAATAACTCCAAAAGGACACAGCACACAAAGTACATTATATATGATATCCATACGCGTATAGTTTGCTTGTCTCTTGAGAGCAAACTTTTTAGTTAGGGCCTCTCCATTAATAAAGTCAGTCCAAATGGCTATGAATGATGCTTGTGCCTGCTTTCAGTGGACTTGAAGTGTTTTGTCATATTTATTTTTTTCTATCTGGTGAACATTTTTATGTCAGTGAATTCTTTCATTGCCACTGGAGCTGTTCTACCATTTCCCATTTCACCTGGAGGTTTTTACTTTCCACAAAGAAAAGAAAATGCAAATAAACCAGTAATAGAATTAGTGAAATATAAAAGCACCTTAATGGTTAAAACCTACTTTATTGATCTTGCTGGAATTTATGAGATAGGTTTTCAGCCTAACAGGAGCACATGATGACCTGCATAGACAGAAACGGGTATGAAGTAACTAAAAATGGCAATTTCATGTTAAAAGCAATGAAGAAACCACTTTAGATAGTCTGGTAATTCATGAAGTATAGCCTTGACTTCCAAGGGCACGAATTTTAAAAGCCCACAACCATTTACCAGCCAGGGGTGAGAATTAATGAACTAAAATTATTGTTCAAATCCATAGACCAAAATAATTCTTACAAGTTTTCCTCTCTGAAACACACTTTTCAACAGAGTTCTAATGAGAGTAAATTAAGTCAAAATTAGTTCTGCCATTTATTGTGAGGGGAAAGTATTAACTTTGCAAATTTATACTACGGATTTCATAACTTCATGCTGGAGCGCTTTTTGTGTTGTACTTTCATGCATTCTGTTCAGTGTGTCTTACTGTATTGACTAGTAATTTTATTCTAGAAACCCTGAATGTAAAAGACTAGTCCTAAATGGGTTAAGACAGAGTGAAGGTTTGGCTCTGGTGCCTACGTTCCAGAAATATATTTCATCCTATTCATGAGGATCTTGGACTATTTTTTTCAGGCTTACTGAGCTTAACGCACACAAAAGCAACTCTCTTTCTCTCCCTTCTTCTGCACATACAGATCATCATATGAGTCATTTGGATGTGTATGTCTCAAGGTGTGCTTCCATTGGTACACCCTACAAGAAAATGTGTGTTTCAAAACTCATGACTACAGCACAGGATTATCCCTACTGCCAGTACCAGGCCTCTTAAAGCTTCATTCTATTAATAGATATCACTCCACTTAGTTACTTTCTTTTACGACTGTTTAGACTGGTTGTTTCAGAAGTCAAATCAAGTTTAGTAACAGCTTCTAGTGTTGCTGTATAAAAGTAAGCATCCCAGCTCTTCTTGTACATTCAAACACCACCTCGGAGGCGGGACAATGAGTTCTATTCCTTGTGCACTCTGCTTCTGGTGAATAGGGCAACATTTCTTTCTGTGGTTTACAAGCTGCTGCTGCCTTGTTTCCTTCAGATTAATATTGTTAAAGAACTTCGGAATTACCATTGCGCAGAAATGGGGAAAAATAAACTTTTCAAAGTCCTACTGCTTGTTTTGTTTTTCTAATCCCAGGCTGCTGTCTTGTGTTACGTGTTGATGTACAAGACTGGTAATGGAACTTTCCTGGAAACAAGATCCAATTCTGCCTGATTTTTCTGATCAGGAACAGTGGCTGTGGCCTGGCTGCTTGTGCTACCTATTACAGCTCTGCCAAAGATCACTTACTAACAGCAAACCCTTTAGACAACCTTCTGGCACATGTGTCCCTCACATAGTATGATCTAGATTTTATATGGGGAAGAAGAAATGCAGCTCCCACTTGGCAGCGTTAGTACAATGTGCATATTGAAGCATGCAGATGCACACTGACAAACATTGCTCCGAAACCTTTCTGGTTTGAAAAAAAAAAAGTGTTATAAACAATTTGAACAAAGTTTCTGTTCTCAATAGCATTTAATGTGAGACCTCCCATGTTTGCTGCTTTGCCTTACAGTCTTATGGAGCTATTGCCCCAGCTTTGGTTTTGCTTTGATTATTTGTTTCTGGGAGAGATAGTAATGTTCATTTCAACATGGATTTAAGAAATTACTAGCTGGTGTTTTCACGGAACTCTGAATTCTAACCGCTGTTAAAGTGGAAGAGGATTGCCTGCAGGTTCTGAAATGTGTTACTGAGCAAACAAAAACTTCTTTGGGAGGCAGAAAAACCCAGCCCTTTTGATTGTAATTTCTTTTAAATAGCTACCTTATTGTTGGCGTGATGGAACTCCAGCACTCTGCAGGACTGCTAACTACTGCTCTGCCCAAATACAAGCAATGGGCAACTTTTGTGTTTCAGTATAGAGGAATTACAGAATCATAGAACAATTTGGGTTAGAAGGGAACCTTCGAAGTTCATCTAGCCTAACCCCCCTGCAATGAGCATCTCCAACTAGGTCAGATCCCAGAACCACATCCAGCCTGGCCTTGAACGTCTCCAGGGATGGTGCAGCCACCACATCTCTGGATTATAGCCACTTTATACAACACAAGAGGACATTTTTAATCTTAGTCGTTTAGGTAAAAGTCAGAACAGTATTAGGAAATGGACACACTGCGTAGATGCTTCTGTAAAGAGGGCAAATGATCAGGTGAGTATCAGGAAGAACTGACACAGCGGTTTTCTAGACTAAAACCAAACCAAGTGTAAACCTTTGTTAATGCTTTTGATTAGGAAATTCTTTAGCTCACAGATCTTTCTTAATGCTTGGATGAAAATACTGCTCATTCTTCATAGAAGGAGTCCACTTCAGTTCTGTATTTCTCTAGCACGGCGAGCCGTTTCAGCTTCATCGTTGGACCTTAAGAGAGGGAGGGAGTCACAACAGCAGAAATAGGAACAAAAATTCCTATTCAGTCTGACCTTTGGATCCTATGATTTTCTACTGAAAAGCCTGTTTGGAAGAACATCTGCCACTCTGTAAGTGCAGATAGCTGCTGAAAGTGAGAAGCAAGCATGGTACGTAGGGCATGAGGACTTCAAAAGGAGCTGCAGGTAAGATGATGTCTGATTCCTGCTACTTTTTTCATTAAAAATAATTAATTGTTTTTTGAAAGCTTTTAAACAATTCCCAGTTTATTCAAAGAGCCTGGTAATGTGCTTGCAGCTCTGCTGTCAGGCTTTCACTGCCTTTCACTTTGAACCAATACATTTTCAGTATTATTAGGGAAAGTTGTTAATACTATAGTGCACAAGGGATTAACCAGAATCGATTACTTAATTGTCCACAGCAATCTGAAATATAACTATCGAGCTGTACATGTAAGTAAGGGCGGAAGGATACACATGTGCACAGCAAAATGTCCAGTTTTGTATTCTTTAACTCTTTCTGCTAATGGCTTTTTCCTTTCCCTCTAGTGGCCGAGCCCCGAGTTTGGTACACAAAACTGTATTTGAGTACTCTCAGATCAGCAGCCTCTTTACTATGTGTAGACCTCAACAGAAATCAGTAAATCTTACCTAGTTCTCCCCCAGAAATGGAAAAATCTCTTGGCAGGACTATCCATTTTTGGATACAATGAACCCGATTAGTGGCGTTCATGTTGACTTTGTCGATTCCCTCCTGAATGGCTTGGTAGATTGCCTGGTCTCTTGTGACTACAATCTCTGACACTTTAGTGGCTTTACTACCAGTCTTCTGGCAGAAGTCTCTAGCTTGCTCAGTGAGAATGTCAGTGGGCTCAGATGTATCTGGGTCCAGCACGGTCTAAAATATCAAATGAAGTGAATCATCACATGCTCACTCTTACAAGGCATTAAAAGTTTCTCTGATCAGGTCCTTCCTGACTAATAAGAATAAAGCAGCTCAGCGTCAACAGCCAAACATCCTGTAAAAGCAATAAAACCCAGAAATACCTGCAGATGACAATGTGTTTTTTTTTTCCCCACTACCAAATACAATTATTTTTGACTTATATGCAGATGAAATGAACGGACTTCAAAGGTGTCAATGAATGAGGCAATAAAGTCCATCTCTAGATCTTGAATTGCTACCACATTTTCTAAATTACTCCAGTGTTACAGGGGAACATTTAAGTCATTGTTAACTTGAATTACTGTGGTGTAATGTAAGCAGCTTGAGATAGAAGCATTCTTTGAAATTTAGACTTCTTAAATTAGTATTTCTATTGTACCTGTAAATAGAGAGTATCAGTCATAGAGGTAAACAACTACAGAAAAACTAAAGGGTCATTCACTATGCATGCCCACAGAACAAAAAGTGCAAGAGATTTTGCAGTGGAAGTATATACTACAGCAAAGCTATGGATTATTTTATCCTACATTCATTCCTGTGTTATTTGAACAGAACAAATCATAGGGAAGTGTTTCAGGTGGAAAGTTTGTTTCTGTTGGAGAGTTTCTGTTAGAAATTGGGTTTGCCCCTAAAAGAAACACTTGTTGGCTTTGCTCGTCTGTAAAAATCAAAGGTATTGTTGTGCTCTGTTGCAGATTTCTCACTCTTCCAACATTTCTTAATCGAAAATTTCAATGTAGTTAAAAACTATGTCTTACTATACACATAGGAGAAAACAGCAGTAACACATAGATGTTTCACAGATCATATAACCGTATGAAGTTTAGATCTACCAGGATTTAGCCTGTAGCTATTATGCATTTTTTCTGCCACAAACATCCTCATACCCGATTTTGTGTCTTTTCACAAACAGATCAAAATTATTTTGTTAGGTGCTCCCTGAAAGCAATATTAAAACTGGTTTACCTTTAGAGTCAGCAACATTGACAAAAACTTCTTTTTATCTCCAATGACCATAGCATTGCTAACAATTGGGAGTTCTTTCTTAACAGCATCTTCAATTGGAATTGGAGGCACATTTTCACCTCCAGCTGTAATTATCAAATCTAGACAATAAAAAAGGCTGTTAGTTTAATTCAAATAAATTCTGACGATCAGGTTCATATCTCTCTGACATAAAGAATAAGAGATTTTTTTAACACTATGTTTTCATGGTGTTAAAGTTCATTATCTTAAGAAAAATGCTAATATTTTTTCTATATGTGCTCAAGTTCTCCCTTAAGTATAAGATATTTGCTCCAGATCACTTTTACATCATCTAGTACCAGGTTAGTTATTCTCAAGGAGCTGTTACATAATCTGCAGTTTTGGTGTGAACAATCATCTCTTCCTAATTAGGGTAGGATTCACGCTCTATTTCACTGTTGCCACCTCACCATAAAGTAAGTCCATTGTTAATGTCACGATTAAAACTAATTCTTAAAGCCACCAAGAGGGGTCAGACAAAAATAAGTTACGACTACAGGAAGGCTCCATAAAAGCAACAGAGAAAGAGAGGAGTGTCAGAAATCAGAGGAGGAAGTCTGCAGTGCAAGCAGTGATCCCTGCCCCGAAGGAACAAAACGACACACTGGAATCTTAATGTTTTTAAGGTTTGTATACAATGGTAGTCATACCTTATTCTACTAAGAAAGGAATGTACATTTTTATTTGAATGCATTGTCTAAAGTACAGTACATATATTCCTTGGAATGACCACAAATTTTAGTATTATCTAGGTAAATTCCAGCTCTTAGCTTTAATTACACTGGTGACTTCCCACTGTCCTCATAGAACAGTTTGTAGCATTTCAGAGTATGCTCCAATAAAGAAAGCAGACAAATGGTACACCAGTCCTGTGTGTAAATAAGGGTTGGGTTGGTACCTGTTTCCCTATCAGTGATAACTGGAAGAATTTAGATGCAGTCAAGGGAATGTAGCACCCTTTCACCATTCACAGATTTGGGCCCTACCATCTCTACTGCTCCATGAGAACTATGACAAGAAATAACTTCCAGTCTATACTCAACTTTCTGGTATGAAATAGGTATTGATATCCTAATTATAAAAGTTGTTTTTCTCCCTATCCAACACATTGCACACACTTGAGGAAGCACGAACAGTGTTTATAGAACAAGAGACTTTGTCAAGACACAGATACCTGCCAAAGCTAGCTGTGTATCCAAACTTGTCTAGGTCTGTTTTTTCCTTTCATTCCACCCTCCTTTTGCCTAAATCCTATCCTTACTTTAGATCCTCACCCAATCACTGGCACTTGGGTTTTCATTGTCTGACACGTCAGCTTTACCACAGGAGATCCAGACAACAGTGGCAGCAACTTTTTCCACCCCTCTACAAATACTCCCCCTGTATGGCCTTCTCTAGCTACATTGTTGTGCTTTAGAGTAGTTGTTAGTAACTCAGCAACCAAGGAAGTTGTAAGTGCAACACAAATGTTATGAAGGAATGAGACTAGGAATCGGTAACTGCTATGCTAAAGGAAAATGAATCAGACAAGAAAGCAAACTAAAATCAAGATAGCTGCATTTGGTGCAGGCTATTAATAGGACCTACTTAAGTTCTGATTCTTAAGAGGACACTGCCATCCTATTGACAAATTCACTCATCCATGTTACCTCCCCAGTGATTCACCATATATTCTAAGATGATAATTACTCAGTTTTTAAATCTTCTTCAGTTACATCTCAACTGTGACCAATCCCACCTTCTGAATCTAAATTGTTAAAACAAGCTTCCAAGTAAGCAAGTGACCAGGCTTACTCTTGTGAGACTTAAAGCTGTGTACTGTAATACCTAGGTTTCTTGCTTTAGCTTTCCCAATACTAGTCTCTGCAAACACATTGCCTAAGGCGTCAGAGGAACCTAACTCTGACCTACAGCAGTAACTGCTGTGTAACACAGGGCTCTCTCTCATTACTGTCTAAACATTCTAATGTGCAATTAAGGCAATTTAGCAAGATTCAAAGGGAGAATGGACAGCTTAATGGATTATTAGAATCAAAGATGACACATTAAACCTGCATTAGTATTCTATATTACTAATTGTAACTAATACTGAATAAAGGTCTGGAAGAGAAAAAGACTCATTGTAGGAGTTGAATCATCTCCACATCTTACAGACTAAAGGGAAACCTTTCCTGAACAGGGCACACTGTGGTTTCCTCATAAGAGAGTTTATTTTGCTTTCCTATCAGGTCAATGTCACTGGCAGTGGAGGAAAGACAATTAGACAGGCCAAATCTAACTGAACAGTTACCATTAACATGGAGCAAGCTTTTTACTTATTTACCTTTAATTCTTCCAGTTACATAGAGAAAGCCATCCTTGTCCAGTTTTCCTAAATCTCCAGAATGCAGCCACCCATCCTCATCAAAGGCTTCTTTTGTTTTGTCTTCCATATTTAAATAACCCATGAAAACAGTCCTTCCCCAGAAACAGATTTCTCCATTGCCTTCTGCATCTTTGTCCACCAATTTCACCCTGCAGCCAGGTGCTGGTTTCCCACAGCTATCAGAGAAAATCATAGATATTAAACATAATACTGATAAGACTTCTAACACACCACATCTCCAAACCCATCAAGGTAACTGCAAGTAACACCCTGCTGTAACTGTTAGAAAACTATGGAGTATTAATTCACTAGAGTACATATGTTAAGAGTATCTAAGCACTTTCTGGCTATCTTGCTCTGTGCTCCCTCGTTTGGTATTTTTCATCCCTCTGCATCTTCAGGTGTAAAAACACTTCAGTATTTGAGGTCTTGCATTTGAAAGTTAACCTACCCTGGGCCAGGGCTAGGTTATACGTCAGATTTATTAACTGTGTTGTGTGTATAATCCTGTAGATCCCTTTCAGTGCTCTTGGCGTGGCATGCTATGGAGGCAATGTGCTCAGCTTCTGACCTGGAAGTTATTTTGCCTCCCACAATAGAATAGCAATGCATTAAGAGAAAATCAAATCAGCAATGAGATCTGTGCTGAACTTAGTAAAAACTCTTCTGAAAGATATAATGAAACATATAATGAAACATACCAGAGTTTAAAATTAAAAAGCAAAAAGCAAAAATAGAAATAAAGTTACCTGTGCTGCCTGTAATTGGTTGGCCCAGATAGGCAATGTGGCCCTGTGGTCTCACTCATACCATAGGCCTCATACAGGGTGATATTCAAACCCAAGAAGAAATAGAGTGTTTCTGTATTGAGAGGAGCAGCACCAGAAAAGTGCTTCTGACAGGACGAAAACCCCAGCGCATTGCGTACTTTTGAAAGCACAAAGTAGTCTGCTAACCTCATCCAGAACTGCTTTAAATCACTGCTGAGGTAAAAACACACAAGAGAAGGAGACAATAAGTCAGAGCAACCTTGGAGATTGCCAAAATGAAACTGGACACAAATTTTATTTAGAGATTTATTTGCTGTTTGGTTTTGAGTGTTGGCAGAAGTTACATCAGTAAATCAGGTTACAGCTTGGTCTTTTTCCCATTTACTGTCTTTCCTTGCTAGTGAACTCCAGTTCTTGAGATGTCTGAATACTGCAAATACATCAAGAACATATAAAGCCACATCATATAAAACAAACTCTTGTACTTCAGGTTCTTTATCGGTTAAATGTGTCTCTGAGAACCTCTGCCACTACAATGCGAGTTGTGCAGGACCTATCTGAGAAGCTGAATGATCAGACAAGCAAAGCAGCACCATTGCACAAGCTTTTGGGATACATTTTCTGTAAGCAATTTCACACTTCATTGTGTCATGCAAGCTGGGGGACGTGTTAGTAGGAGTATGCTTTAAACAGTCACCTGTGTTTAAGATCAGCCTATTGGGACTGATAACTTGCATTGTATTTGCTGTTTTGCAAGGCCAAATGTTACACATTTACACTTAAAGAGTTTCACCAATGCTTCATGGTTTATTACAAGCAGATAGCTACTTTCAAGTTGATGGGAAATCTCACTCGCTATAAATACATACCTGCTTGAGCAGCTTATGTTTCTCTCTAAGCTAAGTGACATAGCCCATGACAGCATTTTCTTCTTCATAAATCCTGACTGAGCAGAAGCATCCTTTAATTTCTCCATGATTTTCTCCCATACTCTGGGAACTCCCATGTGAGATGTTGGCTGCACTTCTTTCAGTGTGTTGACCAAGCTGCCCTATTAAAATCATTAAAGCATTTCAAAGTATTGCAAAAGATCCACAGCTGTGATAAAGAGGTTTGGTGATACAGTCTATATCTTGCAACACTAACACACAGAACATCATTAAACATGTAGGATACAAAGAAGGACTGCTGAGCCTACTTCAGTCAGACATATGCACTAACATTTGCCAGCTGACACATCAGGGAGGTATATATACAAGAAGGAAAACACACAGGTGGTTTAGATCCTTCTGCCTCCCTTTCCTCCAGAAATTGCTTATACTTCTTTTGCTTTAGATGCAAATTCTTCTGCCTTAAAAGAATCTGATGGATCTGGATTATCTATTTTAACTGGTGTCTACAGCACTGGATCACAGGTCTAATGGATTTTATTTTTCCATAATTGTTACAATAATGGGTTCTCAATCTTCATCCTCTCCTTGGGATATTTTCTAAGAAGAAGCAGCTGAATTAGGTACAATGCAAGAAAGATACCTTCAGAGCATCTGGCTCAGCAAAGTAAACTTGCTCTCCCCATTTGATTCCAGTCCACAGGTCATATATCTGCGCAGCTATGTGGCTGAGTGGGAGATAACTGACGATAGACTCCTGTTGGACCTCTGCAGGTTGCATTTCTCCTGCTCTGCTGCAGTGTGCTGATGTCCAAGTTATCTGTTTAAAATCGATTATAAAACACATTAGGTATTGTGAGTTTGGGGTTTTTTTTCCCCTTTAACACAAACTAAGGAGCCTCATGCCATGCTAATGTAACTGTGAAAAATCTGTGCTCACAGAAATTGGTGAAGACACTGCAATCTTTGACAGCACAACAGACTGCCAATTCCCTGGGGGATGCTCAGTCAAAAGCAAGATGAATTAGCAGCAACAAAGTCTTGCATATAACATCAGTAAATGCAGTCTTTCTGTTCCCTGACTAGGCTATTAATGCCACAGCTCCCTATGCCCTAATGACATGCTGAGCAGGGCAGCCATGGGCTGGATGGGCAAATTGATCTGCCTCTTCTTTTGCAACTCTCCTACTATGTATATATGCATATATATATATATATATACATGTATCAACCTGGCACTTTTTACCGGTGCTGTGTATCTATATGTTTACCTAAAAAAGAACAAATAACACAGAGTGATCAGGGAGCTCAAAGGACAGTTTAGTATCAGCAACAAGCTCAATCCCTTGTATTGATCAGTACCTGGCTAAGCACTAATGAGGAAGATAGACGTTATATTCCACTCCTCTGGAAGCTTCTAGGGTGCTCACCACAGTGGTCCACAGGTCACACACGCACACCCCTATCCTGATCAGTGGCTTTGTGGATGTTTTTGAAGATGTGCTGTGTGACTTCATAGTGAAACTGAACGATGTTCCCCTCCTTCTCCATAATTCTCACCTTATCTCAGAAGATGCAGTTCAAGGATGCCAGATATGCAGATCTTCATGATCAGAATATGGAAGACCCACAAATATATGTGATAATATAAGGGGATTGGGAAAAGACACACATGCAAAGAAGAAAAACTGAAAAAACCCAAACCAAACCAAGAAACCGCTTTCTGAGAGGAGTCTGTAATCTAAATTGGGTAAGGCAGGACACAGACGTGAGATTATTCAGGATAGGAAGAGATAACAGGTACTGCATGTATTTGTACCACAGGATGTTCCTGCCAGCTCCTTTTCCTTGCAATAAATTAGATGGTACAAAACGTACATTTGGTCTAAGGAAATACAGATTCTCAAGAGAGGTTTTTAAGCAGCAACATGTTGTCAGGCCAGGCCACTCCAAGTTTAGATGGCACCACTGGGTATGTGGCTATGGGAGACTTACACACTAGACAGAACTGGGGTGTCTTTGAGATGCAGCTATATTGATTTGCTTCTCCTCCAAGCTTGTGGCACACAGGCACACTCACAGCAGATCTAGGTGGGTACACATATGACTGATTCAGCATTGGTTTTGCATATGGGCACTGGCAAGCATCTTTTGACTAAAGAAGGCAGCAGCACAGCTACAGGCAAGGCATGTTTTCCACTGTTCGTCAACATAAAAATAGCCTGTTTGTGATCATCAGCCAGGAATAGCTTGGCAGCTAACATGGAAATGACACCAGACTCCTTTGAGATGGAAGAGCATAGGATCTGCAGTGTAAGATCAGTCTTTTTGTCTATAAAGTCCTGTATGTTCTGCTTTGAAGTACTACTTTGCTAATTCCCTACATTTTGGTGAATTGCTCCTCACAGTGGACACCTCTGCAATAGTTTCTGGTTTAAGAGGAGAGGCCACAGCTGAGACCAGCCTGTTCACAGATTGGCTGTGCTCAGAAAGGCTCCCTACCATTTTCCACTCCTGCTCAGCCACCTTAAAAAAATTATGTATGTATATAACCCCAAAACAACTACAATTCAGATCTTTGCTAGAGGTCTTCCATGGAAAGTCCTTTCCAAAAGCAAAGCTGTTCTGATAGTGACTGGCTGATGTATATGATTTGTCTCTTTCAAGATAACCTGTGACATCACCTGAGAGACTTTATGGCAACCTGTGAATTGTATTTATGAATACATGCATTGGATCTTATAAGAAAACCAGTGAATAAAAACCCTATTCAGAACAAACTGTTCAATTTTGTGAAGTGCTAGTTTTGAATGGAGTTTCATCTTTCACCTTGCTTATATTTCACCAGAACGTATAAGCACTCACAACTTTGCAACTGCATTTTGAATACTGTTTTGTAGTACACTACCCACGTTGCAAAAGCAAAAGGATTTCAAGGCTCTAGTACCAGTCATTTCATAACACAAAAATAAATATCCTCATACTCTACTATTTTTAAGCTGAAGGAAGAGCCTAAAGCACATACATTGTCATGACTCAGCATGGCTCCTTTTGGCTTCCCAGTTGTTCCGGATGTGTATATTAGCACACAGCACTGATTTGGCTCTTGAGAATTAATTATATCATCCAAAGTAGTATCGGACACATCATCTCCCAACGCCAGAAACTCTTCCATCTAGAACACATAACAGAAAATACAAGATATCAAATGGCTTCTTACAAGTGGGAAGGATTCAATACCTTACCAGTCTCAAAAATGGCAGACAACTTCAGTGCCTTGCTCTGCACATTTCCAAGGCAAGTTTCCCCAGGTCTTGCCTATGTAAGAAAGATGGTAAGGCTAGCTTAGAACTTGATGTGTGAATTGCAAATAGACTACCTAAAACTGTGCTGCCATGAGTCTTTTTAGTGTCTAAGGGAATGGTAATACTACTTCTCCTCCAAGATGGGTACTATGGACAAGTCACAGAGACTAACACTCTGTTACTGTCTCACACTGTCAGAATAATTCTGAGTCTTATTCAAAGGAATCTGCATGTACTGGTTTTAAGTAAGAGTACACTTGTGATGCTCTATCTGTAATTCCTTGTCCTTTATATCAATACTAATATAAGCAATTGGATGAGAGCTTCTTTGCAAAAGTCTCATTGTCTGTATGTGAGAATGTTTGTCCAAATTACTTGCTGCTCTATAGCAAACAGAACATATGGTGCTGGACACAACTTCCATTCAAATTCAGCTCAATCTAGAATGAACTAAAGCTTTTATGATGCTGGACTTTTGTGCCACACAGATCAGCCTAGAAGGGTGCTGAACCTGATCCTCTTTATTATATTGGCTGTTCCCACACGCTTGTATTACACACACTTGATATGCTGCTAAGGGTGCTATAGATTTCAATGCTAATAGAAAACTAGAGTATAACAAAATCTTTTACGATAGATAGTCAAAAAAATCTTTTAAGATAGTCAACAACCCAACTGTCAGTTTCCCATTGGAATCATATGATTTATACTGTGCTACACAATTGTGTTATTCAAATGCAGCACCTCCATTCTTTAATGATTTCTTGGAGATATTCCTAGGACCACACAGCAGTAAAGGGAATGACGTTAAGGTCAGCAGAAACGAAAAAGGAAATCCTGTGCTTGAAGGGGTGCCCGTTGTTTCTTTCAGACCTCTGCCATTAGTGTTACATCAGTTAGCCTCGGTGGCACTGAGGCTTCCTTTTCTTGGGTGGCAAGGCTGTTCTAAGTATGCCTCATCAGCTTGATGCTTTTTGCCAATAAACCACAATTCTGAAAGGAGAGGCAGTACACAGCTCTGTAGCAGGTAGAGAATTTGTCACATTCTATCCCTTCCCACAGAATGCTGCTGCATAGTTTCACTAGCTCCTGGAAAGTCTGAGCCTCAAGGATGTAATTATTTCTATGTGATTTAGCAGTCATTCCAAGCAGACAGGCCTTCCTGACCTGTCTTCTCATTCTAGAATGTGTTAATCACTGTAAACCTGTTGCCTAGGCTTTGTTTACTGAACAGTACCTGCAATAGGCTGTGTTCCCATTCCACAGACCATGAAAGGTACAGTCACATACACCACTGACATTGCATTCGCCTGCTGGAAACATGTGCTCATCAGAGATCAAGGGCTCTGCCCTTACTGCAGCAATAGCTGCAGTTAGTTGTCATCGTTCAATACAAATTCCTTTCATCAAATGCCATGTGGTTTGCGTGGTTTGATTTACATCAAACCTAATAACCAATCATTTCCCAGGACAGTGAGTTATCTTTGATTCTTCCTTTACACAAACAACTATGGACCTGTCAGACACTCTCACAGCTCCCCTTCTCCACTGAGAAAGTGTGTCCAACATGACACCTGAACAGATCAAATCTCAGGCATTTAGGTTTCAGCAACTGAATGTTGTTCCAGAATTAACTGCAAGCTTATTCTTTTTACTAACAAATATAAATAATAAAATCATCATATTTTTTTATTGTACTGAGATGCAAGGGCATACTCTAAACCGGTACATACAACACTGTAACAGAAACCATTTTTTATTAAGTTATATGCTATTCAACATAGCAAATGATGATTAAAACAAGCGCAGAAGACTTATTTCTTGTGTACCTGGTAACCCCTCAGATCATCAAAATTGCAAGTATTTGTAAATCTTTCTTTGCTGTCCAGGCTACATTAGTATCTCCCCTCCCCCAGCTGAAGTTTTACAGCCTAAAACCTGACAATCTGTAGTCCACTTAAAATGCTGACTTTTGTATTCTTATTACTTAACTATTTTCAGAACATATTGGAATAACATGCTTACAAAAATCTGGTTTGCTTGAAGTGCTCTTGTTTCTTAAATTAAAGGCTGGACTTCTACCATTCAGAAATTCCTGATCCTGCCTTTGTCCTTTTCTTCCTGCTTGTTTTTTACAATGTGATGTGACGATTCTACATATACTAAGAACATATGCTCCTCTTTGTGTAGTCCGTACTTATTTCTCTTCACTTGTTGCCTGTCCCGTGGAATGCTTTGTGTACAAGCACTTTCACCTTGGATCCAGTGTAACTAATCACAGTTCAGGTTTCAACAGCACCAGTGGACAACTTTGATTTTTAACCATTTGAGGGCACACGTTCCCATCTGCAGTCTATAGGTGTTTTGCTAATCCACAAGTAAAAAGCCAGGAAGGCATAAGAGACAGTTATGCAAGGTACCTCTAATTTTAAATGTCAACTATCAAATGTGAAGTTACAGGTAAATTAGACAGAAAAAGCTGATGAAGCTTTTGAATGTGCTGGAACACATCAATGCATTCTAAATGGCAGACATTCCACAAATTAAATGTGGCAGAATTAATCAAATATCTAATACCCCAAGGATTATAACTCTGTTCTAGCATTCACATACCGTATACAAATTTGGATATCTCTTTGGAATGGAGTCCTTATACAGCACAACAGCTTTCAAGTGTGGCAAGCGATTCCAGATCTGTTGGATTGTTAAAAACAAATTTATTATTTATTACTCATATCTTATGTGGGGGGTTTCTCACTAAAATACTGTCAAAACTCTAATGGTTTGACAGTCACAAGAAACCTCTTGTTTTCCTTCACCTGCAAATATTCTCCCCTAAATTCACAACCAATGAGGGAGAGAAAGAATAAAAGGAAACACCACACAGTGTGTTCTAGAAAATCTGTTTTAATCTGTTTCAGTCAAAAAAGGAAAAAAACAAAAGCCAAACCCCCAGCCGCTGCTCCTCAGCATCCTCAGATACCAGACTTCCAAATAAGAACACTCCCGTGAGAGGTTTCACAATAGAGATAGTGCATATGGGACCAGCACAGCATTGAGAAATGGGGAAATGAGGGCATTTCAATAACCACTCAGCCACCCTATACCTGAATTATCTTGTCCAGTTGCTTCCGATTTTCCACAACCATGATATTGGTTTTGCTGTCATGAGCAATGTAGTGACAGGCCTCTGGAGAATTGGTTGTGTATATCCCTGTGACAATTCCTCTGCATCAAAATGTGTATATATAAGAAGATATATTTATACACACACATAACTTCACTTAGTATCAAAAAAAGTAATAATCAAAGATCAGCTGAAAGCTGAAAGAGCATGAAGATGTGGAAGTAAAGAACAGTAGAGCTGTCATGTTTGTTTCAAGTATTCTGATACACATGGCTATCTGATACATGCACATGGCAAAAACTAATCTCTGAACTCTATTTAGTAGAAGGTGCCATAGGCTAGAATTCAGCATTTTAACTCACTTGAGGCTACAAGAGAGTTAGCTTGGGAAGTGGTAAAAAACCCCCAGCAGTCATGTCTTCTTTCTGCTCAAGCTGCACAGATACCAATTTCAATTTCACTGGCACAGAAACACATTAAGAGGTAAAATTCAAATTGTATAAACAGGTACCAGGATAGAAGGAATCAGGCCAATTTGTATTTACCTGTCACTTCATCTACATGAACATATCCTGCTGTAGACAAACATTACTATAAAAGAGGAAGTCTCATCTGTTTCCCACATCTTCCAGTGATAAGATACTGTACAACAGCTTCCGTGTGACTGTCACAGTTAAGCCCGTAGCAAAAAGGATCAGTTTACGAGTGTATGCACTATTTTGGATATACTGAAAGCTGTGAGACTCCAGCAGGTTGCTGAATATGCCAACCACCTGCAGCACAGCTTCCAAGACACCAAATACTGATTTGCTACACTTCCAGACCTAGCAAAACAGAAATCCTCAAATCTGCCACAAAACCAATCAAACAAAAATCTTACCCAGCAAATACAGCTCCAACAGCTGAGATGAACCATTCTGGAGAATTAAATCCAAGGATTGCTACACTGTGGAATCGTTCAAGACCAAGCTTAAAAATAATAAGCATAAGTTCATATAATACAGGTGCACTGGAGAGAAACATATAGCACGAAGCATGCACACAAACATAAACCATGGAAAGCTTTGATTTATTATATTGGTATTGGCAAGCCAAGTCCATCCCTGTTGTTATCCATAGCAAAACATGTAGCTATCAGCAGTTAACATGATCTAAACTTTCCACACCTTGTCTTGTCCGTTTGAGCCCTGCTGTCCAGAAAGGCCTGAAAAACAGAACTTTTCAATAAGAGCAAGCGCATAACAAGTACTAATCTTACCCTATGTTTAAAATGTTTTCAAATCTGTCTTTATTCCCCCAAATTCATGACAGAGCTGCTTTTACCTATTTTTCTGTTTTTAATCTTTAGGCCTTTTGCTGAGCTTTGTATGCAGTGAGACAGTGTAATACAGCAACTCTTCACTTGAAGTCAAGTTTCCTTGACACCAGTGTAATCTCTTTGATCAAAAGCAATTTTCACCAGTATTATTTCCATAAAGAATGTGACTGATGATCTTCAATTAGGAAAAGCCTCTTATAGAGTGCAATGGGGGTTTTGTTTGTTTTAAGAAGACAAAGGCAGAAAAAGGAATTGGTTTTGTTTCTGGTACCTACCTTCAAAAAGCCTTTGGCTGCTTTCCTGGAGAGGCAGTAATACTCTGAAAAAGTTATCTTCTCCCACTTCCCATTCTTTTTGCTGGCCAGAGCATTAAGAGATCCATACTTTTCTAGGCTGTCCTTGAACATCTGATGAACGGTTATGGGAGTCTGAGGACATGAGTTATCTATCCTCAGCCTGACTCTGCCATCAGCTAGGGAAGTCCACAGAGACTCTGGAAAGTAAAGCATTATCACCAAGGTATTCCACCAATGAAGAATACCATGTGACTGTGTACCAAAAGACAAGAGGATTGAATAAAAACTGCAGGACGAAGCAGAACTCTGGCACTTGCCACCTTTTGAGAGAAGGGCTTTCCAATTTTATAACTATCAAATAAACCATGTAGAAAGAAAAAAAAAAAATCTTTATTTCTCACACTTTGTTCTGCATCTTGAATAAAAGTGCCACCATACAGAATTACACTGATCTTTTGTGTGCTACAGGCACAGCTCCAGTTTCAGAAGAATCTGCTTGCCCACGCTCAGCCCTGCACAGCCACTACCCCTTGAGCTGGTGAAGTAGCTGGTGAATCAGAAGGCTACAGAGATCCTAAAGACTGAAACCTTTGTTCTTGTTCAGCATCCAAGATCCTTTTGCTTGTCGCAGCTCTTTCCTCCCTCCTTCCCCCCAGCTATTCACCTTCATTCTGCTCATGCTCCTCACTACTTCCCACAGTTTTTTTCCTTGGTTATCTTGTGTTCCAGTATGTATATCCAACTCCACTCATTCCTGTCTTGCCCTATTTCCACACCATCGTTCACCTTCTTCTGCTTCCTCACCCTGTATTTTTGCCATCCACATCCTGTATTTTTCCTCCCCTTCCTTGACAGGACTCAGAGACAGAGCACCAACTAATGTCACTTGGCTCTCAGCACTGGTGCCAAGGACTGGGGCAGTCCCTGGCATTCACAAGAAATGACTGCCTCAAGGATTCTATTTGGCTCTTGCAATCCCAGCAAGAAGCAGGCTGAGTATAAATACACTCCTTGGAGAATCTAGGGGTTAGTAAATTGGCAAAATTGAGGTGAATTCTCACAAGGAAGACAAAACCCACTCACAACTCCCCTATCAAACACTCAGTTCCCGTACTTCTGAACAAAATAGTATAAGAACATTTTAAGAACATTTTTTCCTTACATTTACTTTCCTAAATGAAGAAATATTTTTAGCATAATCATTTTAAAAAAAAATCAAAAGATTCCACAGAGAGCTGGTGGAATGTTTCACACTGAAGAGCTTCGGCTTGTCAGAATTAAGAGTAACAGCAAACATTACTTTTGACATTTTCTTCAGTAACTCGTGCTACCTGCATTACACTTTGTACCCCAAATACTTTTTCATTCACTAATATATGACCTTGGCTTATGTCCTTCATATGAACTCACTGAACATCAGAGATGGAGAGGAAAGACTTATTCCTAAAAAAAGAGGGTTTTGTCAGATAAAAAGTGGCAGAGATTTTATTCAGACAGGTAGCCTCACTGTCACTCCGAGTCTCTTGAAGTGTTTTTTCCTCATGTCATTCTCCTCCAGGGCCAAGTTCCATGATCAGACTAAATTTTCCTGATCACTGTCTGCTGCTGAAGGAAAAGATGGCTCAGAGGAATCTTACATATACAGTGTATGCAAAAACTGTTCTGCAGTTTGTCTTAGGAATTGCTCCAAGGACAGCTCATCTAATTGTTTGGGATTTTAGGTGTGTGGTTTTCCCACTGAAGTAGAAATGTTTAACAAGGAATTTTACAGGAGGAAACAGTTAAAAACTTCATAATTGCTAGGTTTTCAGCTGATCTTTCTCAATATGGTCCGAAACACCAAACATGGAAGAACAACTCTGAGAGCCATGTAAAATGCAAAAGAACCAAGGTCACCTTTAGACAGGTAAACAGACAGGCTGACTGTGGTATAGCCCCAGTGCATGACCTGAGGAACCCCAAGGGATATTCCATAGATATACCCTGAGAAGCAGAAACTAAACCAGTGACTTCTGCTTGAAACTGATTCAGGTGTAACTCACAAAACAGTATCTTAATTATATGCCAGTTCCTGCAAAACATCCCTCTGCTCTAATGATGAGAGAAGGTATTCAGCTCTTTGCTGGAGGCTTTTCTGACACAGTCATCATCCCAGATTCCACAGCTATGATGCCATCACATTCTGCTGACAACACAAATACATCATTCCTCCTCTCAGCCATTATTTTTTAGTTTTCTTTAAGATGACTTTGGCCCTGAAAGCTTAACTTCTCTTTAGTGAAAGCTGGAGCTGAGTACATACAGCTTGGAGTCTGAGAGCTTGGCATCTATGTCAAATTTAGCCCTGTGCCAATGAACAGATTAAACAGAAAGGAACATGAATGTATCAGCAAATACATAGTGATGCTTTTTAAAAACTCAGAAATCAGCTTCCTGTAGCTTGCCTTGCCACAGCTGGGAAAGAAGGAGGGCTTTCTGCCATATCATCCTTTTCCCACAATAAACATGTAACTTTAAACAGTCAGAGAAACATAAATAAATAGTGGAAGTATTTTTACATTAGTAAAAACATTCAAATACTTCAGTATGTGGAAACTTGCACCTTTTCCATTGGAGGAAAAAGAAACATTTAAGAACTGCAATAAATATATTGATCTTCACATCAATAAACTACCACCAATCTTGATCAGAGAAATAAGATCCCCTCCAAAGAGTGTCTCTACAAACTGACGTGCAGGGAGTGATGCATCAGAACAAAATAAGCTTCATAACAACCCTGACGGTTCCAAAACTGATCACTTCCAAAATGGAAGCGTGTGGAGGGAGTAATCAGGAAGAAACATCACTACAGAAACATTGCGCAGGCATGCAGGAAAGTCAAAATTCACTTGGAACTGAAATTGGCAAGTGATATTAAAAGCCACTTCTACTGGTACAGTAGCAGCTAAACTGAGAATCAAGGCTATCACAGGCAACCTACTGACACAGGAGGACTGATGCAGTCAGCGCCGCCTTCTCCTTGGTCTTCACTAGCAAGATCAGGCTTCCTGGGTCTTGGTAAGATAATTAGTCTTCCAGAACAGTGGTCAACATTTCTGAGTCTACCTATCAGCCAATTGCAAGTGACATTCTTTAGGGGTTAGTCCCAAGAATGATACTGTTTAATGACTGCATTATAGTCTTGGGCAATAGAATGCACCCTCACCAGCTTCAAAGATGACACCAAACTTGGGGAATAGGCCGACATGCCAGAAGGCAGGGCTGCCATTCAGATGGACCTTAGCAAACTGGAAGATTAGGCTGACATAAACCTCAAAGCTCAACAAGGGTGAATGGAAAGCTTGGGCTTGGATAACCCCATGCAGCAGCACAGACTGGACACCAGCTGTGGAAAAACTCCTGTGGCTCCTGGTGGACAAGTTGAATTTTAGTCAGTAGTATGTCCCAGTGGAGATAAAGAGCTACATCCCAGGCTGCATTAGGAAGATTATAGTCAGCAGATCAAAGAAAGTGAGGGTGCAACTGAAGCAGTGTGCAGCTGGAAGCCCCCGTGCAAGTGAGAGGTCCTGTCAAACTGAAGCGAACACAGAAGAGGGATTCCCAGATGGTCAGGGGCCTAGAGCATACTATATAAGAAAAGCCCCTAAAGGAGCCAGGTTTCTTCCATCTAGAGAAGGTAAAAGAATGAATCTAACTGCATTCTGCCACAGACTGAAGGGGGTGATACAAAGAAGACAGATTCTTTTCAGAGGCATGCAGCAGAACAGGAGACAATGGACATGAGCTGCAGCAAGGAAAATTCTTGCTGGATAAAGAAAAGTAATTTCACAATGCAGGTGTCAGCCTAAGAAGAGGGATGAAGAGGCTGTGGAATCTCTATTACTGGAGGTTTTCAAAACTCAGCTGAATAGAGCCGTAAACCCTCCTAAGAGTAGAAAGCTGGACTAGTGGCCCTCCAGTGTAAATTATTCCAACATAAATTATTTTGTGATTCCATCAGTATAAAACCAGCATGAATGATTTATCCTTTAACTTGACACAGGTAAATGTAATGCCAATGTAATGCTTGCTGCCAACAGTAAGATTACATATGTATGAGAAAAAAACCAAAACCTGGCCTGCTTCTACACAAACGAGCTTCTACACATTGGTGGACAAGAATGGGGTAAAAGCTCCAGAACAATCTGGCCCTCATCAGACAAATCTACTCCTGGGGTTGCAGAGCATATCAATTACCAAGTGAGACAGTTCTGTACAACTAGAGTATACCAGAATCTCCTTCTTTTCTCCTGATATACAAAGCAGACCCACCACAACCCAACACTGAGCTTCCTTCTCCCAAAAGACTTTCTGGAAGAACTTTTTGACATTCAGTCCACACTTCACCGCTCAGCATCTGCATAGCTGTGTGAAGTGTCCAAGTCAAACACTACTTCTCATTGAAATGGATAACAAGTAGTGCCACAGATTCCCAAAGTCAAATAAAAGACAAAGTCTAAGTTAAATTGTAAACTCCTGATTCATCAACTTACAAAAATATCTAAACCCAAGTAAAGGAACTGCTTAATTAAAATGGATGGGGTGTGACTTGTGTTTGCAGGAAACTGATGACGGAACAGCTGGAACAGCTTCTACCCTCAGTTGTTCACCTCACCTTTCTTCCAGAGGCTGTGGTCACCTCTGCAGGAGTGGCTGAATGGCATGTGCATTCCTTCCTGAACACTGTGGTTTACAGCTCAGAATATTACTCTCAACTGCAGCCAGCAGCAGCCTCTGGGAGAGAAGCAGGGTAGATAACTGACAGCAGGAACCAGCGTCCCAGATAAATTCTTAGTAAAATAGGTCAGAGCCTTCACAAGCACACAAGCAAGCGCTCTGCAGAATCACAGCCTCAGTAAAAATCTATATATACAGCATGCGTCTCAAGTAGCTCAGTAAAATACCCTGAACATTTGAAAACAGAGGTTTGAAAGTTATCACCTTCAGCCATTCAGATTTATTTCTGGCTTATGGAAAAACAAAAAGCAGACGGTGAGCAGCTCAATTCTCAGAAAGAAACCTACTGTGTATCAAAGAATCGCCTTTTTAAAAGTCAATATATATGCATACAAATATATATTTAGACATATGTCAAATATAAAGTCTGCATGCGAGTTTCCTACACACGTTAGTTCTTCAAAAACCACTTGCAGCCATTGCTCCAATTGTCCCATAGAACAAATATTCTCTGTTTAAATGGGCAAATTTAGACACCAGTAGCAGACTCACCAAGGCAACAGGGAGCTCTCTCAGGGCTGCAAACCTTCCAAAGACTCTCTGCAATTTCTGCTAGCAAACCTTTAAGCCACATGGTAGCAAACAAGGGTAAATTTACCACTGTAATTGGTTTAAAATTACAGTAGTATGCATATGCTACAGTGCTACACAGAACTCATCAAAGTATAGATATTCCCTTACGGCCTCCAGTTCTTAGACAGTATGCCAAATCCTCAATAGCTGACAGATGCTAAGTAAGCTGTGCTGCCAAAGGTAACACAAGAATTGGTATGATGTTCCATGGGAACAGACTATTATTCATTTCTATCTAGTAATCATCTCAAATACAGGCAAAAGCTGGGAAAAACTATTGAATTCATACAAGCTTACAGAAAGCTCCTGACAATTTCGCAGTTGCCCTGATTCACTTGGGTTTCATTTTACTTTTTTGGCTGTCTCTCTTTATCCCAGCCCTGAAAAATTGTCAGTCATAACTTGCTAGATAGAATAGGCACAAACATTGTATTACAGGAAAAAAAAATAATCACCTTATAGGAGCTCAAATTTCCAAGGATCATCTTTTACATGCTTACCTGTTGGCTCTATGCCTTCATCTTGGGTTTCCTCCAAATGAAGCAGTGAGTCTCTGCGGACAGTCTGTGCATCTGTAAAGGTTCTAAAAGAAAATATACCTATTAAAAGATTATTCAGGAGTGCTAGTAGGATCCAGTGCAGTCAAAATGCAATAAATCCAAGGGGAAATAAAAACACAGCTTGCAAGCACTTAGAAACACAACAGGAGAAAATAGAAAGCTCAAAAGAACAAATAATATTTTGCCCCTTTGTTGCAAACACTACAATCACGTTGAACACAGAAATACCTTCACTCTAAGGAAGACATTCTTATTTCATACCAGTGGACTTCTGGCTTCAACATCATGGCATATAAAAGATGGAGATAGTAATTTTGAATCATAACAGAGAGGTCATGAACCATGCAAGTATACAGAAGGAACTATCAATTTTAACCTTGATCATGCTGCCACTGTATTGATACCTTGTAAACTGTCAAGGTTGTTACCTGTTGAAGCTTCAAGGTTAGGGGCTTTTCTGTTGGCTGGCTGGCGTTTTTTAGAGGCTAGGAAAAGAAGGAGATTTACTTCCTAATAATAACAATAAAGTTTCCCAAAATTGTCACCAAAGCAACAAATTATCATTATCACATGGACAAAATGAACATTTCTTGGCTTAAATTAACCAGGCAAAGATTATAGCACAGATAATACAGCACAGAAAGTCTGTAAGGTAACAGAATGCAGAGGATTATACGAGCAAACCATATAACCAATAACTAAGCATTTGACGACTGCATATAGCAATACACTGCAGATTATTCATGAATAGCAGCATGCAGAGTTTTTATTTAGCTGACTTCATTTAACAGATCACAAGGTGGGAATCGGCAGCCTTCAAAGGCCAGGAACAAATTATGGTTACCTTTATTCCAACAACTACAACAAATGAGTCCTGAGTGAAGCTCAGGAATTCCCTCCCCTCCACAGTGTAATAAACACAAACTGTAGAAAGTCCAAACAAGGGCCTTCCCAGCTCTCCATTAAATAACAAGCAACTTCAAAAGCAGTTTTGTTACACAGCAGTGTCAGGTGCCCAACGCTATGTCAGACATTATTTCCTACCTCACATTAACTACACTTTGTAGAATACCTATTACGCATATGTGGGCACTCCTAGAAATTATTATTGTTATTCACAATGAAAACATTCTTTAAGCAAGCTGTAACCAAGCTGGATCCCTGCTACAAGAGTTTAGCAGATTGCACAATTCTTCACCCATCAGAAGTGACAATCACAGTTCATTTAATCTCCTGCTGCTACCATGCTGCAGACCTCCGTGCCTCAGAGCAGAGGTACAGGTAGCAAAAGCAGCTGAAGAAAAATGAGGAGTCATCACTAATCTTGCCTGTGAGGATATTTCCTCTCTTGTGAATGGCATAATGGGACAAAACATGAAAGGGCTTGTCTGATGAGCAGAGAGGTAGGCTCTGAAAATAGTCACTGGCTTGGTGAAGGTGGACATTGATGAGAAGCTGAGCAATGTAAATATAGAGAGGGATTATACTGCCTTTTGAAAGGTAAGCCTGTATTTGACAGATGGGAAAATGGTGATTTAATTAAGTGGGATTGCATGACAGATTGACAGACCAGGAAGACACATTAGGGAATAAAAACAAAACATCTGAAATTTGCCATCTCAACACATTTCCTAGTTCTTGAGCATTTTCTTATTTTGGAGAGAAATTACATTTGATGTTTAGAAATCTAATGCAATCTTTTCCTTTAAATACCTTTTGAATACTAAATATTTAACAACTTCTATTATTTTATGAAACAAATAAAACCGTCAAAAAATGAACAGTAAAAAAAGTCCTCAGAAGAACACAAATCTGATCAGTAATATATCAGAAGAGCTTCCTTTGAAGCTACTCAAAACTTAAGACAATCATCATTCATGACTTTTCCCAGATGAAAATCTCTTTGGTTTGCTTTGTTCTCATCCGACTGTTACAGATACCAGTTCAGTTTATATTATGTTCCTTTAATAAAGAATCAATCAACAAGTCTAAACTTCTGGACTGGCACTGGTAATGCTGCAACATGCAGAAGCTGTTTGAGGAGCTCTGTGCATCCACTGTCTTCAGGAGGGCTAAAGTTAGTAATGCTGTGTGCAAAGTAGTTGCCACCTGCCTCGATGGACATAGCAGTCCATTTGAGAGTTGGTTATTTTGGTGGTTTTTAACCCTGGAAGTACTGTTGGGCAATTTTCTCTTTTATCGACAATATATGTGTGTATTCAGAAGCATCCCTTCTGAGTGAAATAGCACGTTTTTAATGTTGTTACTTTAAGCTTTTATTAGGAATTATTTCTTTTAAAATTAAGTAAAGATCCAGGAATGGTTATAGTATCTGGAATTGTTCATGTGAGGCTGAATTGAGCAGAATTCAGTGGGACTGCTCGATCAAGAGCTTACTAAGCATCCTGCAGCAAGGAAAAACACAGTGCAGTGATGCTTCAGTGGCAAGATGTCCCAGCAAAGTCATAATGCTTTGGAAATCTGGACTTGCACTGCTACATTTGTTATTAAGGCTAAGGTTCCCTGTACATTTTTTAACTTTATTAGGGCAGGAACAGCATGTTCCAAAATCCAACAACCAGCTTAAAAGTGGATTCTCCATCCAATTTGTGCATTACAAGTTTATGGCTCTAAAAGTAACATGCAAAAACCTCGACAAAGCACACACGGAGGATTTCACAGTAGAGGCCACTTTAGTAAGCCAATCAGAACACAATGAGTTCTGTGTTACACAACACTGACCGCCTAGAACTAAACAAAGCATACTTCTGCACACCTCCATTAGCAGAAGCAGTTTTTGAATGACTACTTCCTGATGTAATTTGGGACTTAATTTCAAGGTACCTTTCTATCACACATGACCTCATCTGCTGCCTCAATTCAATGCTTGCACACACACCCCTCACCCGAGAGGGAGGCACAGCATGCTTGGTCTGACTGGCTTATCCAGAGGCTTGCAGCTACAACCACTACTCTACGGCAGCTCAATATAGTGTCAGACTGCAGCTGCTCTCACACAACCTAAAAAGCAAGAGTTTGAACATTCTCTCTCCTTTCCTTCTTTGTTTCAGAGGTTGTAACAGCTCTAGCAAGATCTGTTAGAAACCAGTGGAAGTAACACGTGTGACTGATACTATAATGGTAAAATTGCAACTGGCGGAACTGACAATCCTTACCCCCAGAAGCAAAGCAACCCATCTGAATTTGCTGGCACAGCAATTACTTGTTTTAACCAAGTGTATTTGATGGAAAAAAAATGAATACAGTACCAATTCTTATCATAGGAACTATGGAACTAGTTCCTATAGAACTGTAGGAACTAAATGTAACAGCTAAATCCCTCCACTTTTAGCATTACAAAATGACAGAGGTCTCTCTTTCAATGAAGTTACACGTTAGGAAAAACTCATTTTTCTGTTACCAAAAGGACACTGAGGATCTGATTAACAGCACTACTTACTGTGATACTAATTTCCATGAGGTTTTTAGTTTCAAAGGACTTTGGAATTAGCCCTCTCCTTCCACAGGCTCTATGTTTCCTTCTCTGGTAATTGGAATTTCTGTTTACATCCCATATTCTAGGTCAAATATATCCAGATATACGCTGTCCTCTAAATTCTCTCCTCATAGGAAAATCTTGTGAAAATACTAAGAATAAAACTGAAAAGAATCTATAAAGTCATTTTTTAAGATGATAATAAAGCAATGATCTCCATGGACAAAATGTTATACAGAAATTCTCACTTCAATAAGCCTCACAGAATACACCAATTGTCCTGTATAATTAGGTTGGAATCTTTTCTCTCTCAAATTTAAAAACTATGAACTTCACGTTGTAGCATACAATGTGTTTTGGCCTTAATTCTGCAGAGCTATTTCTAAGATCACAAACTGCACCAACAGAATATGAACACTGCTCTGCAGCAGTAATATTATCTTGGGCTTTAAGGAGAAGCTACTCATTAAACAGATTTTGTACAGTAGCAAATAAAAAGACATCTCTCATTCTTTTTGTATTCCAATTCCTTATCATTCTGCTCCTGCAGTTTTGTCAATTTTAAATATTTTACCACTTGGCTTTCTACAGGGGGTAGAATTTTTGTAAATAAACCAGTTTTCTACAAACTTGCAAGAATAAAACAAGCAGTTCATCAAATAACTACATATGTATCTTGTTAAGACACGATTCCGTACAAGGTATTCCTTTAGACTTTGGGATATTTAGTCATAACCCTTTGTATACATGAACCAAGTTGAAGTACCTGAAGTCTGAAAATCACATTCACAACTGCTCTAAAAAAAAAAAAAGACTTAACCCCCCCCTTTTCCCCCCTTTATTTTTACAACTAAACCAGCTGGCAGTTGAGACTGTGCATTCACCCAGAGTGTGTTACCTCAGCTTCCAGACCCATGCTGTCTGGATTCACGATGAAGCTCCCATCTCCTCCTCCCTTTCCTGGTTTTTCTAACATTACACAGCTTCTCCACTCTCACCCTGTTCCTGGATAACATTGTACCATATGTATGGGCTCCCGAGAGAGTGAAAACATTTCTATTAATTAATTTTATTCTGGTTTAATGTATGGTAAATGTCCAATATTGAAGATCCTGCACTCATGAATATACATTATCAGGTAAGCTGAGATTAATGTAATACCTGATTTTGTAAGAGCAGTATGTTCAAGGAGCAAGGCTATGTTTACGGCCAACCATGCTACTGCAGTTCCTGTCTGCTTAACTTCCAAAGCTTTACTGTAACTATTGCAGCATTTTCATTCTTTTGGTTCTTCAAGATAAATTATCCTGCAGATTGTCTGCAGCAAAGAACATGGGCAATAACAAGGGAATGCTCAGTTACAGCGTCTGCTGAGTGCACACCATTTCTCTGTCACTTACAAGCTTTGTACAAAAAGCAATCCATGGAGCTTCTCCTGGGAATGCTCTGGTAGCAGCGCTTCCAGACTCCATGGCTCTCAGGAAGGCTCACTTGTACACACCACAGTGATCCAAACCAGTGCAGCTTCTTCATCTGCTTCACTGTTCCGCTGAGGATATCATTTACAAGCTCACCCACCAGGCTACTTGCAAGTGGCAGGAAGCACATTACTACACATCTCTTACAACACTGTCTGCACCTTATAATTAAACTCTTTTCTCTGCTTGCCTTGCCCAAAGAAATATTTTGTAGTGTGCAGGAGTTCCCCTTACAAAGTGTGCAAATCCCCATCTGCACAAGTGCTTTTTTCTCCAACACTTTGGCTGAATTGGCTTTCCAAACGATGACACTTGAATCTAGTTTAATGCACAAAAAATAGGCTCCACTGGAAAACACACGTTTTTTCCAAGGCAGAACTTCTTAATAAATTTTGTTTTCATCTTTCACTGCTTGCCTCTCCTGAGGATGACTTTGCCAATTCCATCTCTGAACTCCTACACCTTGGTTGTTTGATTAAGTAATCCATAATAAAGCAGATGAAAAAAGTCTTACTTCCAATCAGTGTGTATCTTTTGCTGCTTCATGCTACGTTACAAGTGTCCTAAATATTTATCTCTGCTCTGGGAATTACTTTTTTTCCCTAAGCGTTTGTTGCATGTTCTCCAGGACAACACAGCTGTACACATTCCACCAGCCTTAATCTACACTAGAGCTGCTTTTGGTAATATGTTTTGGGTCTACATCTGCACATTCCAAAGTACTTTTCATTTGTTGTCAGGCATTTTCAACAGCTCACTGGGACATCTGAATTCAAGATGGAATCATTAAGTAATCATCTGACAATTCTTCTGGCAGCAAAAAGCGATGGGTTAAATTACCTATGGGTAGCTCTTAGGGTTTAATGATCCTGGCACTTTGCCTAGAAACTTCAGAAACTAAATATCTTCATCTGGATCCCATTCACAAGTAATCCTTTCCCAATTCCCCATGCATCCTGCAAATGCTGAATCCAGTATTTTAAAAGAGAGCTCTGGAGAGAGGTTGTAGGAAGGAGCACAAGACAATAAATTTAGAATCATGAATCTGCCCTTAGAGTTCTAGACAAAGACGAGAGAGTTACCCTGACTGAAATCAACATATCAATGTAGTATCAAAGCTTGGACAGTTCAGCAGCTAAACAGAGATCTGTGACCAGCACATAAACACCCAAGTAACAAACACTGCATCTCCGGGCTCTGGGGAGCCGAGTTGTTACCCAAGACATTTTGAAGATGTTTACTCATTTTCTACAGCATAAGGTAAAAACCCCACAGTAACAACACACAACATTAGCTCCTTAAAGCCTCATTTTGTATTACATGTAACATTCTCCCTATATTAAGGAGCAAAATAAGGAGTCACAAGAGGTCCTCGTGGTCCTTTACAGGGACGTTGCTGTCTATCATGACTGGCTGTCTTATTTACTAATTACTCCTCTCTTCAAATTAGGGCAATATTCTAATACAGTCCTTATTCATTCTATTAAAAGTTTCCCTTTGTCCTTGAAGAACAGGTTAGATTTAGGTTTTAATTGATTTTCATGTCCTCCCGAGTCTTAAAAAAGGGGCCACAAATGAGCATAAATATGTTCCTACTCTTGCAAAAGGGTCAGCTGACATGACAATCAGTTTGCTTTTCACAGTACACAAGAAACCAGTCTCAAATTACTCATATAACTTCTTCCCACACAAAGGCATATTTAATAGCCACAGACAGGCTTAATAAAGAACAAGGTATTAAAGTTAACAGCTGAGTCCTTTTTGCCATGTAACACAGTTGGCACACACACACTAAAACATACAACTGTATTTTTTCTGTTGTTAGGACTAAATAGCCGCAAAAGCCAGGCCATTTCTTTTGGTGAGCGGATCAATTCTACAGATAGCTGAGAACTCTGTGGGTGCTTGGGAAGGAATGAACAACGTACCCAGCCTTTATTTATCCCCCTCTCTGCAAAAGGCTCTATTCAACACTTAGGAGCATTCTACAAGCCTTCACTGACCTTAGTACAGATTTTCTGGCTCTGTTCTCCCCTGCACAGCACAAACCCAGACCTGAAGCTGAAACTGTTCAGTAAGCTGCCTCTTTATGGCTATTTGCAGGGAGCGCAGCAAAGTTAGGTCACACAGAACTCATTATTTCCTCTCTTTCTCATTTTTTTAGGTCACACTGGTTTGATTCCAGCCTTAGAAAAGGTCTTTTTTCCTAGAATTTTATTTTCTTTGTCTAGCCCTTTCTGCCTGGAATCCTGCTTCCAGCATACAAAACGAAGTATAGAAAGTTTGCTGCCTGACTTCTAACCACACCAGGTGAGCACTGTTATTTGACACGACAACATGCACCGGCTACATCAAAAAACTAACAAAGAAGTATTATGCCATGGACTTGAAATGCATCAGAACTAGCTGCAGTTCTAGTCTCTGTGATATTCTTTCACTAGAAATTCAGAAACAACCCAAGTGCTCATCACCTCTTTTAACCGGGAAGCTTAAAGTTCCTGTTTGCAGTGGGTGCAAACCACTATAATTTTAAATTCTCTTTTAGCTTTACTTTTCTTTTAAGAAGGAAAACAAGGAAACTTTTTTTTTTTGCTGAAGCATGTCACAAATAGAAGCATGCATTAAAATGCTAAAATACAGGCATTATTACAAATCAGCAAAATCCTAACTTTCATGTGTACACATACCCATACTGATCACAAGCCTAGTACTGCTTTATGATCTTTGGCCAGATTAAACAAATTACAGTTCTCGCATTAACTGCATTAGGAGTCCAGCAGTAGCAACAACACCACAACTTTCAAAAGGTTACAGGGATGTCTGGAACTGTTTTCCTTTCCAAAAACATTAAGTCTACAGTTTGCTCCTAATGATTCTTATCGTGGATTACAGAGCCCAGAACAGAAGAAACCATTATGATAAAAATGTTCCCAACCAACTGTTTACCTGAAAGGGTCAAGCACATCTTCCAAGCAACATAACATGCAAGCTGTTACCTCAACAAATGTGAAATTAGATTTAACTTAACAGAAAAATATCTGCCTGATACAATAGTTCAGTCTCTGGGAGTGGATAATTAGTACTCAGCAATATTGACAAAGTTCTAATAAGCAGAGGTCAAAGGATTCCTGTGAGATGTGTTGTTCTGTTCTTAAAGCAGGTATTTCTAAAACCTCTAAGGATGAGGAGCTTTCTGTAACAGAAGACACTATTCCAATGATGCAGTAACAGGAAAAATAATGTTCCCTTTTGTGCTGCCTAGGACAGAAAGAAGACAGTAGCCAGTAGGGTTATCTTACACGTACCTGGTTACCTGGTCAAGTTTTATTGCCTTTGATGGGAAGAAGATGCTCAGCTACAAAGGCTAATTACGATATAAGGATTATTTCTGCAAATTCCAAAGGGAAGAGAGACCTATCTGCATAGCTGCGGCTCAGGTATTTTTGATAGCCCATTCAAAGTAGATTATATGCATTGTAAAAAGTGCAGAGCAACTGCTACTGAACTTCTAAAGCCTTTGGGGCCAATCTGACCATCAGAGACACAGGAAGGGATGGCACAGGAGCATCAACTGCTTCTTTTACTGGACTATCTGAACTTTGTTATATTCTGGTACTTGTGAAAGCCCATTACCTCACCACACTGCTGAAAAGCTTACACTGAAGCGTAAGAGCCTCGTAATTTACCAGTATTTTCAACCAGCCTTCCATATTTTTCCTAAGCTGTGAGCAGCTGAGCCACTCTTTTTGGAATTGCTTTACACGAACTCCTGCTGAGCCCACCTCTGGGTCTAAGAACCTCTGTGCTATAAAATGAACACTGTACAGCTAGATATATGTAAACAGGATACAAGCAACACAGTCCATACTGAATGATGCTATTTAGTTTAATGCCAAACTAGAAGCAAGCATAGGAGAAGAAATCCAGTTAGAAACTTCATTACAATTTTTCTCATTCTAGCCTCAAAAGACAGACCTTATTCTGCATTTGATAGCAGAGACACCACCAGGCAGACAAGGTCCTTGTGGACCTGCACAACAGCAGGAGACAAAATCAAGTTGTGAAAAACTGGCAAATCAGTTTGTTAAAATAAATACTCAGGCTACTTTACCCATTTTCAAAGCTTTGTGAAACATTCTGTGCATTTTCATCTTGTGATGTTTTCATAAGAGGCTCTCCACTGTTAGGCATGCTGGCAAGCCCTCTAAAGCTGGTCACAAAAATGGTCAGGAACTGTGCGGGTCAGGCATAAATAAGCTACTTGGACAACTGAAGAAACCAACAGTAACTGGTTATTTGTTAAGAAAAGCCAACACGCAATACAGGAGGAGGAGACTACAGCTACAAAAGCTGTTTCTTTCTGATTTTAACATGCTTGAAATGTCGCAGTGCTTGTGAGCTGCTTAAACTTTCCTTTTAATTCAGTTTTCTTCAATTATCCATGAGAAGAATTTTAATGAGTCTACAATGCTTTAAGATGCAAATCTTTTCTTTTGCCAACATTTCCAACAAATTCGTTCACAGAAGTTGAAGCAATTCTAACTTTATTAACTCTAGTTTCAAAATAGAACATTCAGTGATTTTCTTAGAGAAAACACAGATTAATTACATCAGGAAATGCCTTCAAGTCAATTATACCTATGAAACCCAGTAGTGTAACAGCCAAGTGCCTCCTCCAGCATCACAACTACACCAGCACTTTGACTTCACTAAACCAGGCCTATTACATACTGTGGCAGTTTCCACACATGATTAAACAAATTACATCCCAGGATGTAAGCAAATCTAGTTCAGCTCCTTGGGCTACTTCGACACTAGTAAACAAAAAGGGAATAGCTCAAGCCACCCACTGTGAACACCTGCCCTATGATAGTTTTGGTCTGTGAAAACTGGTATTTCCCTAAGTCAGGGGATAACCCAGGCAAGGATTTGTCACTGGCAGATGACATTAATGACCATCCTTTCTGCAAGAGGAAGAGAGGGATGTAAACTGTGCTGTGCCATTTCCCTTCAGAGCCAGAAAACATGATCTAGAATGTTTCATTCAGTGGTACAAAGCAATTGGGATTATGTAAGACTAGTAAACATCTACCTTTCTATAAAGATGGGAATTCTATTCCAGAGTATCTTGCAGCATTTCCAAATGCTTAACTGTAGAGAATGCAATTTGAAATTAAAGGAAAAGAAAGAAAACTTCACAGAGGGATTCTAAGCGTTCTATTCTTACACCAGAAACTTGCTTTGAGAATACCTGAACATGGAACAGGGGACATTTCAATGGTAAAAATGTGTCCAATTCAGACGTGTGTGAAAAATAAATTATGTCAGGATTCATTTAGTTCCTTCATTTTGAGATAAGTCTTTGAATTTCCTCTTTGTCCCAATTATTCTTTGCAGAAAGCCACTAGGTATCTTCTATGGGCTCACAACTAGATTTCCTGACACATCGTAAAGAAAAAACAGGATTCAACTTTGTTGCAAGAAATCTCATTAGTTTTTTAGTTCTTCTGGTCATCTAAAATGTTTTACATGCTATTTTATATGAAGGAATCCAATTAGATGAGCACTCATTACCTTGCTTGGCTTGTGCCTTGTGTGTTGATTGGCTAGCTAACAGGCTGGCCTCATGGAAAGAAAATGGCTGCTAGCTCTCTAAAACTTGTTCTTTTCAGTGAATAAACAGAAAACCTCAAATACACATCTCTTCTGTACATATTGTGTTTAGAGAGGATTTTGTTTTGGTTTTCATATCATCTTCCTTTAACTAATTGATGGTTAGAAAATTGTTTTGTTGCAATCAAGGATTCCCTGATGCTAAATCACTCCTCAGGTAACAGAAGTGGCTGCAGGGCAGACAGGTTGTGAAGCAAGGGGAATTCATCTGCAGGAAATAGTGGAGAAGATTTGGGTTTGGACTGGGTATTGTTTGACTGTAATAGAAAACTCACAAGAATGTGATAAACTAAGCTTCCTGGAATTGTCAGCTACAAACAATCCTGTCATTTTAACAATAGGCTTATGAACGTCCTGCTGCAAGAAACAGTTCTATACAGAAACTGCATTTGTCGTTCTGGTATGACATTTCTAGGTACTCTTTGGTAGTAAATCCTACCAAATGGGTCTAGCAACTTATGCAGAGTTTCATAAGGAATGATCTTCACCTTTAAATGATTTTTATATACTGCAGTTTACATGATGCTATCTTTTATGCCTATACCTACCTGCATGTGACTTGCCCAAGGCTGCACCAGAATCAGACTGGATTTTTGCAGCGGGATGGGCTGCTTTTTCCAGCTACAGGTTAAGATGTCTTGGCGTTGATAGCCTCACAAAGCTAAAAAGGAAATTAAGAAGCAAATAAAGCTCATACACTGTTCACATCCTTTGCTTTGCAATCTATTGGTATCTTTCAGGAATTAACCACTGATACTTAAAAAGACACTGTCTCTACAAACTTGCAGTGTCACAAGATCCCCAAAGGAAATGTTACAGAAGCCAAAACAAAGCCATGTGGTTACTGGGGTCAGTAACCAACAGAGCTGCAACACACAGATCAGCCTCAGCAAGGGGAGAGTGCATGGCAGCTCTCTGTGTTTGGGACAGGGTGTTTCAGGTTTAACCCACAATGCCACTACGGCAACATCAAACTGCTCTTAGCTCTGTACTCCCCCATTTCTTTACTTGTAAGAAAGGAATGTTTATGCTTTGCCATAAAACTTGTGTTTGAAATTAATGGAGTATACTAACTCTGGATGCTCCCTGCTGTTCATCCCAATTAGCTTAAGCAGGTTGTCAATTCATGTAACAAATTAATTCTGTGTGACTGGCCCTGTTTCCCCCCCCCTTTTTTAATCATGTAACAACATCTAAGTGTAAAACAATGCTTTTTTGATACACACAAGATGTTAAACCCATAGTCCTATTGTTACTCCAGACTTCCAGCACTGAGCCAAAACAAAAAACCCAAAACAACCCTCACTCCACACCAAGCACCAGCAAAACATCCAGTAACTTTCAATTTCTATTTCAAAGCCTATGTTACATGGAAAAGAAATAGCACTACTTCTCTTTTTTTTCCCTTTTAATTATTATTATTTCAAACTGTCCCTCTCAAAGCCTGGCAGTTTTTCAACTTGCTACTAATTGCAGCCTGCTGTGTTCCTGGATGGCTGTTAACTGCATTTACTATGATTATACACTTTGATACCTTTTCCCCTCCCCAGTGTTTTCTCATAAAATTGAAGATTTAATCTTGGCCTCTAAAACATTTTAGCTAAAATAAAACCATCATCAGCTGCGGAGTTACTCTGAAAGGAGAGTAGATTTCAGGGTTTAAGCAAAATTCTAAATTCAAACATGTCTTTCGACATGACTGTGCCTGAGCCTCCAGCAAGTTTTAGTAAACAAATGAGTCTCAACACATACCTTAACGATCAACACATTTATGGTAGTTTGGGCTAAGATGCTGAGGGCAGATTGCATAATAAAAAGCCTCAGGCGAGCAACATCTTTTTAAACTCACATACACTTTTTACATTAATTAATTTCTAATGAAGGAATTCATGTCAGAAGGAGGACTTTCACCCTCAGCTGTGCCTCCCCACTCTTGCAGAACAAGAGAATTCATCTATACACAAATCAGCACCTCTAGGCGAAAGCAAAGAGACTACATGACACACATTCTTCAGGTGAAGCAGTTTATCCCACAAAACACTTGGCTATTCACAAGCACAACCACCTGCATGTATTAATATTTCACAGAATTTCCAGTAGCAATCTCTGTGAAAGTGTTTTCTCTCATTGACAATGCCACAGCAAAAGGAATTTCGTTTTGCTTTTCTGAACAATGCATTCTGCTTCCCAGGGAATTGTTCCACAACAATACAGAGAAAATGCAGGTTAGTTTGTGCAAAATTTCTGGATTGTCAATAACAAAAGCATCTTAGATTTGCCAGTTTGTACTAAGGAAAGAATCATAAAGAAAACAAAAGTAGCTGTGAATACATATCAGGAGAAAGAGGCAGATGTCTGTGAGGAACTAGAAAGAGGAAGAACATCCCATCAGGACAATACAACAGTTGGTCTGAGGACAGGAACATCCAGAAGTATTTTTGCTGCTTCTTTCTGAGTAAAAGACTGTTTTAGACTCAGAGTAAGTAGCTGCTCTTTTCATATTTACCTTGTAGCTGTTCATTTATCCCTTCATACTTGCAGTCAAATTTTCTACAGGCCCAAACCACTTTGGAATGCCCAGGCTTTAACTAATCACTGCTGTACTATGAAAACTGGTCTTACTCCTTCTGCATTACTAGCAATTAAAATTAATTATTACAGATTGTTACAATTTTAATTAAAACTTGTCTCAGAAAGACCCTGTAAAGATGCTAGTCACTTACTACACTCTGCCCTAAACCAGCTCAAAACAAATGCCATTATTATTATGAGGGAAAAAGTTTCAGTACCATTAAAGGTCCATTATATGAAACTGTTATATTTCAAATGGGCTTTTAAAAGTGTATTCTAAATAAGGCTAAAAATCATAGGTTAAATATATTATTTAAAGGGTGTTCTCCTAACAACTTTGTAGAACTCATGACACCTGTTCAGGATGCTGAAGAATCCAGCTCAACACCAAGGAAAGTCTGCTGTGACTCTCATTTCACCTTCTGGAGGGACAAGTGAAATTCTTTATGCAAATTCAGTGTGACTGAAAACAACCACAAATTGCAAGCCCTGGGATTCCTATTTAGTCTTTTTCAGGTGTTTGTAATTAAATGTATTCCTGGAACTTCTTTACACAAATCAAGGGTGCTGTAAGGAACTGCAGCTGCAATTCAGCAGACTGTATCCTCACCTGTGTATACAGGATGCTGCTTCCGAAAAGAGCTTCACAGTTTAGGAGGCATGATTGATGAGAAAGGGTAATATGGCTTGATAAATGACAGAAATGCAAACAAAAAGGCAGGGCTTTAACTTGTTTTGTGCTAACAGTGGGAATACCTGTTTCAGAACTGAAGGCAGAGTCTTCTGGTGGTTAAAAGAAGAGGGCAGTAGGGTCTAATTATTGGGCACTCCCAGTCCTCATCCCTGTTCTCTGTTTACCTGCAGAGAACAAGAATTCTCTGCTTCTTTTTCCGTTTCCATCTACACACAAATTTGATACTGTGAAAAGTGACAAGATGAGGTAAAGATCAGTAAAAGAGATCAGCTGCTCATCTGAAATACGGGTAACTGCTGGTTAGGAACACCCACAGACTTAAGGAGGCAATGTATGTAGCGAAAGAAACAGAACTGAGCATACACACACTTGATCACCAGCTTATTTGAGTAAAGGAGCCACTGCTGTAGTTGCTCAGAAATATGTCTGCGTGTGTAAAGGTGGTATTACATTTATTACTAATTGTGACAAATTAGGTGAGTAAAACCAGCTGATGAGGATTCCAACTCTGTTCCATAAATACAGTACTGATAAATAGGAAATGTTCTGCTTCAGACAACTAGAGAAGCAGAGTATTCCCTTCAGGTGTCAGGATGACTGCAGTTCTCAGACTGAAGTGATGCAGATCACTGAAAGAACACTGAGGAGCTGCTACCTCCATTTTTCTAATCCAAAAACCAGGCCTTACCACCTTTCCCATTAATTCTTTGAATACATGAGGAGTTTGTTGTACCAACTGGAACCAAAGATGGAGAAAACGAATACTGAGAATTAAATATAACCTGATAGCTCCCTCTGAAAAATGATGGAGTAAGGAAAGGAAAGTAAACAAAGCAGGAGGCTCACTCCTCTTATGCAAAGATCCATATCAATGAAGGTTTTGGCTGTTACTACTAGTATCAACAGCTACTAGTAAGAAACCACTAACAAGTCTGAGTTCGTATTACATTTACCAACATATACATACGCCTAGATTAGGGTTTCTATTAACTGAAACTATATGCTGTGTCCTTGCAACATATTATAAATTGATCTTCGAAAATAAATTCTTGGAGAATTTCAATACATGCTTTGAAAGCCTACCAACTGCTGAAGCATTCAACTACTGGTAGCAGATTCATCATTTCTTCTTGAACAGGAATATTACCTTCAAGACTATAAGATTATAGAAAAGTGATTTGCAGGGTGAAAGCCATTACTAGAATAAACTGGGTTTTTCCCCCCTTAAAGGGATATATAGTTCTCCGACTGAAAGTTTACAGAGTACCTCACTGTAGATATTTCAGAAAATAATGTGTTTACTTCTCAATATAGTTTCAAAATTGTGGAAGGTATTCACATGTTCAGCTGCTGCTAATTATGCTTAGAGAAAATAATAGTTACCAACACTGATTTCTTCCTCTGATACATTGTTTTCCTGTATATTAGCTCCCTCTCCTTCAGTAAGTCAACAACCAGGAGTACCCAAGAAACAATTGCATTAATTCAATCTGTCAATAATATTTACCTGAAATTCAGTAGAAAAGTCATTATAATAGCCCTAGAGATTCAAACCATTAAAATGTTTCATTCTAAACCTACATTATTGGGCTTTTTTTCCCTTTTCTTTTTTGTCACTTTTTTAAGCCCAGCCGATAACTTGGAACCACACAGCCACTCACTCACTCACTCCCCCACTTCTTTGTCCCTCTGCTCCTGGAGGGATGGGAAGGAGAATTGAAAGAATGCAACTCCCACGGGTTGAGATAAGGACAGTCCAGTAACTAAGGTATAACACAAATCACTGCTGCTGCCACCAATAGTAATAATGATAAGGGAAATAACAAGGGAAGAGAATACAACCACTCACCACCCACCAACTGACCAACACCCAGCCTGACACGAGCAGTGATCTAGCCCTTCTGGGTAACTGCCCCCAGTTTATATACTGGGCATGACATGCTGTGGTATGGAATACCTCTTTGGTCAGTTTGGGTCAGGTGTCCTGTCTCTGCTTCCTCCCAGCTTCCCCTCCTCCCTGGCAGAGCATGAGACTCAGAAAGTCCTTGGTCAGAATAAACATTACTGAGCAACAACCAAAACCATCGATGTTATCAGCGCTGTTCCGAGGCTGCAAGTCAAAAACAACACTGCACCAGCTACTGAGGAGAAAAATGACTGCGACTGCTGAACCCAGGACACCCCTGTTAGACAATACAGTAATGTTCTGTTCCTCACTATCAGCTTTTCACCTCCCCTGTAGTTGACAGAGCTCTGCAGCCTTTGGGTTACCATAACCATAGATTTCTTGGTTTATAAAAATGATTCCAGGAATAAAGAGTTGCTCCCTTAAATACAAAACAGCTTCTCAGTGTTTCTACATGAGCTTCAACAAGCCCCGGTTTTGTTTCATGCAG